ATTTTATGAATATCCATCCATTCGACCGAGCGTTTTCTACAATGAAACATAAAAATCTATTGTTTTAATTTTATTAATTTAGATCAAGGATTTCGGTTTTATTGCTGCTGCTCGGACATAAATGTATAAAATTGTAGTAATTGCTTGTGCTAGTTAGATCATTGTCGAATACGTTGAAAAAAAATATTATGAGACGCGTGGGGAATATAAACCAATTGTGAAGGAAAGTCTAAAAAAAATCAACAAGATTTGAGTATAGCGATGGGATCACCTCTCTCTCATTTTACTAAGTAATATTTTTATGAAAGATTTTGGAAATAATACAATAAATAGTTATTCAAAAGAACCTTCAATATAGCTATTTTATGTTGATATTTTTGCAGTTTGATTAGTGATGAGCGAGACAGTCTTGGTCTTGCCGCGCGTCATGCTATTTTCTAGCATCTCTAGCTTTCTCTTTTTTTCTTCTATTTTTTGTTCTTTTTTTTCTCTTTTTTTATTTTTTTGTTCTTTTTTTTTCTTTTTTTTTCCTTTTTTCGTTCTTTCTTTTTCTTTCTTTCTGTAACTTTCTATCCATAAATTACGATAAAAAGACTAAAGAATCACGAAGCAAAAGGTTGAAACCAAAGCAACCAAAAGTTATTCCGTGCAGCTTCGTGTCTACAAAACTAGGAGACAATCAGACATCAGAACAGCCAAGAGAAATAAAATAAAATTTTCACTATACAGGGTGGTCCGAACTGTATTATAAAAAATAAGTAAAAAAGTTCGTATAAATGTATGTCCTAAAATGCTTAGTTTCGGAAATACAGGGTGTAGAAGTTTCATTTTTATTTCGATTTCTTCCAAATAATTTCTGAAGTAACGTCAATATATAGATGAAAATTAGTGTCTGGGAGTTTTTTGATATGAGAAATTTGGGACTTTAATGTTAATATGACTCCTACATGAAAAAAGGCGTCACCTACATATTTTTTAACTGGATTGAAGAATAATAACTTTTCGTCCGTACCTGTATAAAACTATTGAGAAAAAAATATACATTTGCGACGTTTTTTACGTAAAAAAGGTTTCTTGGTAAAAAACGCTACGAGTCATGGTTCTCGAGATATTTAAAATCGAAATTATCATCATTGACATAAATTAAACCTGTTGACTAAATAGTTATTAGACTGAAATCATAAATTTGAAATGTATTTGTGTCAAAAGTTCAACAAAAAGTGTTTTATCATCATTTTTTTTAGAAAAAATTATGATTAATTTAAAAAAAAGTTTTTTTTGATCAACCCAAATTCAGTAGCTTTATATAGGTACGGACGAAAAGTTATTACTCTTCAAAATAGTTAAAACACATGTAGGTGGCGCCCCCTACAAATAGAAGTCATATTGACATCAAAATCAAATTTCCCGTGTCAAAAAAACCCCAGACACCAATTTTCATCAAAATATTGCCGTTGCTTCAGAAATTATTTGAAAAAAAAATTAAATAAAAATGAAACTTCTACACTCTGTATCTCAGAAACTAAGCATTTTAAGACATACATTTATACGAACTTTTTTGCTTATTTTTATTTGCAGAATATGCTGCCGAAGTATCCGGAATACAATTCGGAGCACCCTGTATAATTAACAACAGAAACTACCGCAAAATACAGTATGTTAGGTATCCAAAGAAATAACACAATAAAATCATAAAAGTTTTAAGAAGATCAGAACTTGACATTTAAGAAAATTATATAAACGTAGACGACATGTATATATATATAACATGTCGACCAACATATAAAAAAAGATATGCCGTCGATACAACAATGGCGGCAAATTAAAATCTTAGACCTACAAAAGGAAACTTAAAGAATAAAAAAGATAAATCGTACAAATTTAAATAAAATATTTTACAATACGTCATTAGCACACGAATCGTCCCACTTATTTCCCTTAATTCCCGTTCGCGAACAAAAGAGATTCCACCGATGATAATTTATATCGAAAATATCCAGCCATATCTGCTATAGATACAAAAGCGAATTTCAAATATTAATTTTGTGAGCTTCATCACGCCAAACTCCAATCAATATCTGTAAATTCGCCGAGATATCCCCCCTAGAACAATCAAATTTCCTTTAATTCGCTTCAACCCTTCCCCTCCGACCCCCCTCTTCGACCACGCAACCCCCATTTCATCGCGAACCACCACCATCGAGACAGTGTACGAAACCTGGAAGAAATCGATCAATTACCGATACTGAAAATAAAGACATTAGTAAACTTCCCCCCTTTAACCCTATATCGGAAGACTGGGGGGAGGAATGGAAAGGGTGGGCATTGATTAATTGGGGGATATTGGGGTGGTTGTATCAACGTATAGAGCGATGGAATTATAAATGCGGTTTTGCCTATTGTTTTGATGGAGAAAAATGGGTATATGCTTGCAGAAATTCTGTTGTTCGATATGATAGAAAAAAGGCGTCCAGTTGGCTTGGAAATGACGTGACCGATGACATTCCCCATATAATTTTACATATAGTATGTCCCCGAATTGTCTCTATTGATATTTTGAGAAAAATGCATTCTTCATAAAAATGTTTAAAAATGTTTGTTTTAAAATGGTTAATCCCGTTTATACTTTCCCAAATTTCCATAGCGTTTTAGAGAAAATAAAAGAAAACATGAAAATATGGTTGAATTTTTTAGAAAGTCTTAAAAATCAAAACGCGTTTCTATGGCATTATAATTTCGTTTTCATTCTTTGATAGACTGTTATTGATAGAATTTTAATTAACGTCATAATTTTTGCTGTTTTAAAATCTTTAAGAAACACAAAATTTATTTCGTTCAATGCTAGGGAAAGGGCGATAATAATTTTCGAAAAATGTGATACTTTAACAACAAAAACGCCTTTTAATTTTCTAGGACTTAAGCTTCATTCAGAACCTCGCGATTAGTGGAATAAATTAGTGATTTCAATTATTTCATTTTTAATTTAGAAAGCGATACTAAAAGTCAAATAATTTAGCTACATAATGTTTAAAAAATCATCAAAATCGGCTCACTAGGCTAGAACAAAATATATTAATCTTTATAATACATCAAAATTTTAAGGTGCCCGTTTTTCGTTGCCGGTGAGTGTATATTGAACAGGGAGACGATTTTTGAATAAGCAATTTTAATACTGCTGCCATTAGGTTTAAATGATGATCCTGGCGAAAGCAGAACTAAAGGCATCGATTTGATTGGCCCGGCTGTAAGACGCAAAAAACGAACCCCTTGCTCGCGGTTTGATTTTGAATTATTGTTTCGAATATTTCATTCCCAAACGTTGATCCCGTGCGTTTTTTTCCCGTTTTAATGGATTGGGGGCTTTAGTTACCCCCTAATATCCATTAGTAGCCTCTGTGACTTATGTTATTTAGTTTATTTCGCAATAATGGGTTTCCTTCTTAGATCAGAAAAAAATAAGACAGATGGAAAACAATATAATAAAATACGAAGATACTTCACAACATTCTTGTACTATTACTATATATATATATATATATATATATATATATATATATATATATATATATATATATATATATATATATATATATATATATATATATATATATATATATATATATATATATATATATATATATATATATATATATATATATATATTTATAAGAAATAAAAGCATTTTATTATTAATGAATTTACAAACTACTTTTAATAGTCTCTTACAATTACTTTTGTAAATTCACAAAAAAACTAAAGCTTTGTCGTACAAACACTCGCTGCAGGCTTTTGTACTTAACAACACCACCATTGACGTCGTAAAATCTGTAAAATTCTTAGGGCTTCTTGTAGACAATTCTCTGAAATGGGACATGCATATCGACGCTTTGTCGAAAAAATTAAGCTCTGCCTGTTTTGCATTAAGATCTGTTTCTAAGGATCTTAACTTGTCAATGGCTAGAACTGTTTATTATGCACTTTTTGAGTCGCACCTCAGATATACCCTTCCATTCTGGGGTAAGTGTTGTGCGACTCAATTTGACCGCATTTTCAAGCTCAAGAAGAGAGCTCTTCGATATTCACTGGGACTAAACAGCCGAACTCATTGCCAGAACTTTTTTAAAAATATTAACTCTTCCTTCCTTATTTATCTTTGAATCCGTTTGCCTAATACGTAAGCATGTATCAGCTTCTCAAGAAAGGCCATCTCACACTTATCCACTCAGGAACCCCACGCTCAGAGTTAGTTAAAAGTTCAATATTATACAACTCGAAATAAAATGCACATAATCACCTGCCATTTGAAATCAAATCCATAACATCATTTTCTTCATTTGGCAAAGTATTGAAATCTTATTTACTAGACAAGGCTTTCTATGCCGTAAATGACTTATATTTTAATAATCGAATTTGATCTTGTAAACACTGGGTCTAATACTTGCTATTACTGTATTTACTATAAACTTACTAAATAGTTTTGAATCTTATTTTTATTTTTTTATTCTTTGACATGGTAAACATTTATAAATGTTTATTTTAAACAATAAGACTGACAATGTAATTTGTGTACTTGTTTTGTATTCTCTTTTATTTGTTTACTTTACCTTTGTCTGCCAATTGTAAAATTTTTTGACAATAAAGGCATTTATTTAAACGCATGCAATAAAAAGGTATCTAATCAACACTGTTAACTTACCAACTTAGAGACTATGGATGAATAGAGTCCTCTACGTCGCTGCTCTATTAAATTTGTCCCCCGAAACACAGTCCGAAAAAATAAATAATACTTAGAGATATGTTGGTGTCAGAGAGATCAGAGAACAATTATGTTTACATTAAAAAATTGCTAAAATCAAGATAGAGAGCAAATAATTATATTTTTTTTGTAAAATTACTTATAATTTTTTTAGTGTATAAGTTACTGCTATAATTTTTTTATAAAAATATGCTCAAAGTTACTAATTATATTTTAATTATAGTATTCTAATTCGTTGTTTCAGATTAACCAATTACTAGAAGAAGTCCAAAGATTGCAAGGCTGCATTAACAAAATCCAAGAATCGTCTATATCCCAAATAACGAGACTAGAAGAACAGCTCGATCAGAAACGACAACAAATTGCACGACTAGAAAACAGGCTAGACTCACAGAAGGACTACGATGACCTTAAGAGACAGATGACGATATTAAAGTCGGATCTGGCTAACAATCCAGACTGCAAAAGTATCGAATTGTTTCTGGAAAACACCAAATTACAAGGGCAGGAGTTGAAGGAGAAGAACCAGGCAGGGGATAGTGAAGGTAAGACTAATAATGATTTGTTATATTTTTTTAACTGCCCTTCCTGATTTCCTGTACTGTATTCTGATTTATGAGCTCGTAGTAGATGGGTAAGCAGTCTCAAAAATTACAGCTACAGTTATAGTAAATCGTTATATCGTTTAAACTTAAAGCCCTAGAGTAAACATTTATTAAAAACATATAATAAACATTCTCAGCTAAGCATAAGATATAATAAAATGATTTTCTACTTTGCTGAGTGACTTAAATGCTGAATCAGAATCAAAAATATCAGAATTGAGTGCCAACTAAAAGTTGTATCTTGATATTTTGTCGATTTCGGTCTCCTGGATAAGATAGACGCAATTTTAATAATTTGCTTTGATCCAAGTCTAATAGCAATCTTTAAAAAAAATGTAATATCTTTAACTTGCGAAAGTTTTAAATAAGTACTCACTGATTTCTCATCAAAAAATATGAAAAAACGCTCCTATAAACATGGGTATGGAAATGTATAGTTTTAAAATTACAGGGATATTCAAACATTTTAAAATTAGGTCTTTTGTAACTATCATAATAATAAATTAGATAAAAAAATATTTCTAAATAAATAATTTCTAGTAACGTCAAAATTTGAATGAAAATTGGTGTCTGGGAATTTTTTGACATGAGAAATTTGAATTGATGTTAATATGACTCCTGTTTGTAGGGGGCGCCACCTACATGTATTTTAACTGTTTTGAAGAGTAATAACTTTTCGCATTTTACGCAAAAAATGTTTCTTGGTAAAGATCGCTACGAGCATTCGTTCTCAAGATATTTAGAATGGAAATAGTCAATACATGTCATTATTGGACTTAAAAAATAAACATGTTGAGTAGATAGTTATTTGACTGAAATAATTAATTGAACTTTTTATTTTTTCAAATTAATAATAAATTTATCTGCAAAAAGATGAAGATAAAACAGTTTCTATTGAACTTTTGGCACGAAAACATTTCAAATTTATGATTTCAGTCTAATAACTATTTATTCAACATATTTTTAATTTATGTCAATAATGACAGGTATTGATAATTTCGATTCCAAATATCTCGAGAACCATTCCTCGTAGCGATTTTTTCCAAGAGACCTTTTTTACATAAAAAACGTCGTAAATGTATATTTTTTTACTGCATAGTTTTATACAGGTACGGACAAAAAGTTATTACTCTTCAAACCAGTTAAAAAATATGTGGGTGGCGCCCTCCACAAGTAGGAGTCATATTGACATCAAAATCAAATTTATCATGTCAGTATACTTCTAGACGCCAATTTTCATCCAAATAATGACGTTACTTCATAAATTATTTGGAAAAAATCGAAATAAAAATGAAACTTCTACATCCTGTATATTATTGAATAGGTCGATAAATAGCTAAATATATATAAAAACGTTTTAGTATATGATGATGAGGGTTTATTAAGGACGAAACGTTTTTTGACCTCTCACTCGCAACAGCCAGTCACGCATCTATGGCTCCGGAAATATCAAAAATACCTGCTAATACACTAAATTTGTAATTTTAATTTTTTTCAACCTATACGTTATCTAACTTCCAATCTCTTCACATGATTTTGACTAATAGTTTCCGTTCTTTACGGCTCACCGCTCTTAATTTATAGAGAGCTTATATATATTTCTCTAATTAGAACCAAATAAATAAACAATGTAATTGTTTTAGCCTCATGAATAACGAATACGCGTTAGTGGGCTTATTCTAGTTTTTGGGAATTTAATTAACCACTCGCTAGAATGAAATAACTGGAATAACGGCTTAATAGAATGTTCTAGAAATAAATTACTCACAATCAAAAACATATACAGGGTGTATGTCATGAAATGAAAGTAAAAGGAGCGCTCCCTTGAGTTTCTTCGCGCACTAAATTCATGAAATATCGCTCGAATATTACAGAAATATTATTATAATTGTAACGAAATAGGTATATTAAAATTACATTATACATGATGGTCCGAACTGTATTCCGGAAACTTCGACAGCATATTCTGCAGATAAAAATAAGTAAAAAATATTTTTTTTTTTAATTTCTATACCAAATATCTTGAAAACCATCACTCGTAGCGATTTTTACCAAGAGACCTTTTTCACGTAAAATACGTCGTAAATGTATATTTTTTTAATCAGTAGTTTTATACAGGTACGGAAGAAAAGTTATTACTCTTCAAACTAGTTAAAAAATATGTAGGTGGCGCCCTCTACTAGTAGGAGTCATATTGACATCAAAATCCAAATTTCTCATGTCAAAAGACTCCCAGACACCAATTTTCAGCCAAATGTTGACGTTACTTCATAAATTATTTCGAAAAAATCGAAATAAAAATGACACTTCTACACCCTGTATCTCCGAAACTAAGCATTTTAGGACATACATTTATACGAACTTTTTTACTTATTTTTATCTGCAGAATATACCGCCGAAGTTTCCGGAATACAGTTCGGACCACCCTGTATAACATCTAATTTAATTTTAATATAGCTATTTTGTTACAATAAAAAAAATGTTTATTATTAAATATGAATAATTAAAATAAAATATAATTAGTAAAATAAGTACAATTAATACACCAGTAATTAATGAAAAAATTGCCAAAATCACAAACCGAATATTCACAAAACACAACGAATTGACAGCGAAATTAAAATATTGACATATTTAAAAAACAAACAAATGAATATTTGTTAACTTTTTAATGACTAGCAGCGCCTCTGGTGTTTGTTCGCACAGTATAGCTATGTATTTCTAAAACGGTATGGAAATTTGGGAAAGTACCGGGATTAACCATTTTAGAACAAGCAACAAATTTTAATGAAGAATGCATTTTCTCAATATGTCAATAATAATAAAGTTTTTCTTCTTGCAAAGACAATTCTTCCTCAATTATTGAGGAAGAATATATGTTAATACTTTTCTTTTTTCTTGGAACTATTTAAAAAAAACATAGCTCAAGGCGCACAGGTCACGCAATAAAACAAAAATCAATAGAAACCAGTTCAGGTCAAACAGGACGACCTCCACATTTAGTTTTTGTTCTGATTTACAAATTTTTTCAATGGAGAACGTGACGTACAGTTGGGCAATAAGCGTTTTATTATTTCTATTACTGTAATTTTGTGAGACATGTCTACTTATATTTTCTTTTGCTTACATGAACCAACGACTAGAACAATTGTTCTTCGGACAATAATTTCGTCATCCGTGGGAAACAGTTTCTATGTTGGAATTGGAAATTTGCTCCCATTTTAACGAATGCTCGGTATATTAACGTATAACTGAATGTCTTACTTATTTTTTTATTGCTTAATTAATCTTTGTGTCGATTTGTTATATACAGGGTGGTCCGAATAGTATTCGGGAACCTCCGGCAGATAAAAATATGTAAAAGAGTTCGTATAAATTTATGTCCTAAAATGCGTCGTTTTAGAGATACAGGGTGTAGAAGTTTCATTTTTATTTCGATTTTTTCTAAATAATTTCTGAACTAACGTAAATATTTCGATGAAAATTCGTGTTTGGGAGTTTTTTGACATGAGAAATTTGATTTTGTTGTAAATATCATTACTACTTGCGCCATCTACATGCTTTTTAACTGGTTTAAAGAGTTATAACTTTTCGTCTGTACCTGTATATAACTAGTGATACACATTTCCGCAATTACATAAAAATGTCTCTTGGTAAAAATCGTTACGGGCAACCGTTTTCAAGATATTTGAAATCGAAATAGTCAATGCATGTCATTATTGACAAAAAATAAACATGTTGACTGGATAATTTGGGAACTTTTTATTTTTTTAAGCTAATTGTTTTTCTAGAAAAAATAACGATAAAACAGTTTCTGTTGAATCATTGGCACAAAAACATTTCAAATTTATTATTTCAGACTAATAACTATCCAGTCAACACGTTGAATTATGTTGATGATGACATATTGATTATTTCGATTCCAAATATTTCAAGAACCATTACTGGTTGCAATTTTTACCAAGAAACTTTTTTACGTAAAAAAACGGCAGAAATATTTTTTTTCCGGTAGTTTTATACAGATACAGAAGAAAAGTTATTACTCTTCAAACCACTTAAAAATATGTAGGTGCCGCTCCTTACAAGTAGGAGTCATATTGACACCGAAATCAAATTTTTAATGTAAAAACTCCCAGGCGCCAATTTTTAACCGAATATCGAAATAAAGATGACACCCTGTATCTCCGAAACGAAGTATTTTAGGACATATTTATAAAACTTTATTACTTATTTTTATCTGCAGAATATATTTCCGAAGATTCCCGATTAACATTCGGACAACCCTGTATATTAAAAAATAAAAAAAATTATCGGAGAAATACTGCTTCTTTCTTCAAAAAGTTTCATTTACATTAAATTACTTAAAATAATATTTATTTCAAGATTTTCTATGTAGAAAGTGCCTTTAGAAAAAATCCAAGACCAAGACTACTATTAGACTGCAAGACCAAGACCAAGCGAGTCTCAGTCCGGTCTTACATTTGCTCATCACTATTTATATCTGTATCTGTATCTTTTTTTAAACCACAACATAACCATTCCTGTCTATTAACTTTCATTATCCTTCTTTCCAGGGGTGGCGGATCATCCAGCTCAACTCCAACCCCCTATACTCCCCTCTACACCTCCTTCGAACCTTCCACCCCCCTTCCAAAACGTAGACGCCTTCGGAAGCCTCCTAGGCGAGGAAATCGTCTCCTCCTGGCGAAAAAACATCGAAACCTATCATCAAAAATCGTCTTTATCTTCTACAGATGGTTCCTTGGTGATCAAAGGCAGTACGTCCTTGTCGGAGACCAACAATGCAACGGAGAAAAGCAGTACGACTTCAACACCTCAACCGATGGACAGTACAGGGTACCAGAGTCCTCACGAAAATTTGGTAGTTGTTAACGGGAACCCAAAAAGTCCTCACGAGGACAACAACAATCACCATGTCAGCAATAACAACATTCCCTTGGTCGCGACGACTTTTGTGAATAACTTCCTGCGATCGGACGATACGCTCAAGAGTCCGTATAGGTTTGATGAGCATCGATCACCGTTTAAGTTTGCAGAAGATTTGGGAATGGCACCTGGATCTATGGTGGGACGGTTGGGAGAAAGTCTGATTCCCAAAGGGGATCCTATGGAGGCTAGGCTGCAAGAGATGCTGAGATATAACATGGACAAATATGCTTCTCAAAATTTAGGTCAGTAACCATTGTTTTATTTATGAATATATATATATATATATATATATATATATATATATATATATATATATATATATATATATATATATATATATATATATATATATATATATATATATATATATATATATATATATATATATATATATATATATATATATATATATATATATATATATATATATATATATATATATATATATATATATATATATATATATATATATATATATATATATATATATATATATATATATATATATATATATATATATATATATATATATATATATATATATATATAACTCTTTTATTTTGATTGCAGACACTCTGAACATAGCCTGACGTGTTCATGAGCTACTTTCAATTCATAACATAGGCCCAAAGACTGTTTGCCAAATACATCCTCAGGTTGTCCCAAGGTACTGTATCCGAACTACTGTCCAAACCCAAACCGTGGGACAAATTGACTGAAAAAGGACGGGACAGTTATAGAAAAATGCATGCGTGGGCCTGTGATGAAAACGCTATCATGCTGCTTAAGAGTCTTATACCAAAAAAAGGTAAGATTTTTTTTCTCATTACTTGACGTCATTTGTAAAAGTGAAATAAATAGTAGATACAAAATGCATTCGGAAGTATAAGAAGAAAGTTCAAAGAGCTTTAAATAAAATTGAACGAAAAATAAATTTGTGCAATAGGGAGGATGGTAACCCTTTCGAACATGTAGAGCATTAGAAACTAGTTTGTAGAAGTTGATTTATTTATAATAACTACGATTAATATTATGTATATTATTAGATCGCACAATGAGATTTCAAATTCACAATAAAAAAGTAAAAAATAATATCTTTAAATTATTGCTGACTTGGATATTATTTATTTGGATCTTCCAATTGGCTTGATCTTTCTTATTCAATGTTAATTAGCGCTGATCAATATTGTTGACCATATTCATATCTATTACAGTTACCGATATACCCATGCTCGTACCCCGAATTTGTAGCACCCTGTAAACATATTTAATAAAAATCAAATTTAGTTTTAGCTTTATTGTTAAATACAAAAATAACTAATTTCAAGACAAAGACATCAGTGAACCTTAATAACAAGCGAATTACCTATTGAGATATACCTGTAAAAGTGACAATTTATGTCCTTAAAGCTAAGAAATATTTTATAACTTTTGTGCGGCATAACTTTTTACCTAATGTGTCGATTTTTTTTATTGTTGATGTATCGGAATGCCCGAGACCACAATTAAATTCTCGTAAACTCGGCAATCGCATCCTAACGAGCTTATAATTGACTTTAAAAATCATCGCCCGTATTACCTATAATCAATTTTATAACGCAAAAACTCCGCAGCAACGCCAGCTTATAATTTATATCTCATCATTGTTATACCTTCGAGACGAGTTCCGATTTTTAGAGATCAATTTTTACATTATTAAGTATTTAAAAAAAATAGTTTATTATTTTTAGGTAAAATCACTTTTATTGCGGATGTTGATGGCATAAAATAAATAATTATTCTCCTTTGATTACTTCAAACTCCCTGACCGATGAAATATACCTCTTTTCTATAGAATACATAGTATACAGGGTTGTTCGCCATAGACGACAGGGAGTATTGTTGTGGTATTGTAGCTAAACGATTAGATTTTTACAAATTGTAAGTATTGGGTTCGTTGAAGGATTATTAGAGCTACAATCTAAAAATATTTTTAAAAGATACAGAGTGTCCCAAATAATAAACAAAAAATGTCAAAGCTGTATTTTTTTAAATGGAACACCCTGTGTATTTTACAAGAATCAAATGCACAGTTTAATTGTCTATCAAATTGTAACCATTTTTACCTATCTCTTCAAGTTTTCGTAGAAAATGCATTTTCTTATAACTTAGACCTCATTTATCCGTATACCCACGGAATATTGACATTTTAGATTATTTTTAAAGATGTAACAAATTTTCAAAGAGTACAGATACTAATATTATTGTCGATATATAATTCGCTAATTTTATTAAAAAATAAAAAAACTGTTTAAATATTTGTTAAAGAGGACCAATTAATATGATCCAAGTATTCAAACTACATTAATTGACTGTTTGCGTTGATTAAAAATCATTGCTTCAAATACTAAAAAACTAAATTTTGTTTAATACCTTATAAATTTGATTTCATTTTTTGACGAATACTTATTTAAAACAACAGAGACGTTCATTTTCATAACATATTATTATATTGATTTCTGATTCAAATGTACTGTTATTTTTAGAATAATTTATTAACTAAAACAATTAAGTATGTAATTAACTAATTTTTAGGTGGAAATAATGGTGGTGTATTTAATTGGTAATACTCTTTTACAAAGATTTAAACAGTTTTAGTTTTGCAAACAAATGGGCTTCATGCAATACTATCGTTTTTAGCACCTGTACATTTTGTAAATTTGTTGCTTTAAAAAAAATTAAAATGTCAATATTCCATGGATATATTGATAAATGAGGTCCAAATTATAAGAATATGCATTTTCTACGAAAACTTGAAGAGATAGGTAAAAAATGGTATGATACAATTTGATAGACAATTAAATTGTGCATCTGATTCTCGTAAAATATACAGGGTGTTCCATTTAAGTTAAACAAGTTATTGCCGTTTCAAGCTAGTAATTATTTAAAATAAATTTTTAAACACTCTGTATAAGGTAGAATAATTTTTATTATTGCAACACAAAATTTAGTAAATATAAAAACTTGGTTTTAAAAACTTAAATGCGCCTGGAGGAATGAAGCATTAAAATTGTTACTGTATTTTCACAAAAACGTAAATATTTCAAAAACGGCAAGATTAAAATGCGGTAAACCTTAATCAAATCTACTTTTATTTTAATCGTAGAACACTCTGTATGTTGCAAAAATATTTTCAAATTGGAGCTCTAATAGTCCTTCAACGAACCCAAAACTTACAATTTGTAAAAATCTAATCGTTTAGCTACAATACACCGTGTCGCATGTGGTGAACAACCCTATATAGTAATAGGTCTTTTCCTACAGGAAAGTATTTCCAAGATTTTTTGTTTCGAACACAATCAAGTAAATCTTTCAAAATTCAAAACAATAATTGACAAAAACGATCGGCGTTCGTGTTGCAAGACAATTAAAAGCTTGGCTCTCGGGGCCCATAAAAATCATTCCTCGGTAAAAGTAGAACACACACGTTTTAACAGTACTTAACAATAGATCTAATAAATTTCTATGCTTTATTATTATTTTTTACGATTGTTCCGATACTTTCTGCAGTTGTTAACCGCTTAATTGGTAGTTATAATGCGCGCGCTCTGTATAGTAACGAAAAGTAGATGAGATATATCATCCCAATCATCCTATTCAGAGCGCAAAAATGTTCTTAAATATCTTAAGTACCGTATGATCGAAAAAAACTTAATTTAGTATTAAACTATAAGCGATACCAATTAAACTTTTTTGTTACGCAATCGAGGGCGCGATTTTTAAATTTATTCTTGCCAGCCACGGACATATTCGGCGCCGTGCTGACTAACTGGAATTTAAATTTCGCGCTGGGGATTCAGGTGGTAGCTCTGCTGTAAAAAATGTCATGTTGCCGCTTTTATTTATTTATTTTCTGACATTGTCATTCGTTTTGACACTTTAGTTTTGTATTACGAGTTTTTGGTTTAAATGAAAGCTGAATTATACTTTAAGCTTATAAATTTTCACTAGCAGACCTTGCAGTCGAACATTGTTCTTCTTAGAACCTCTTTTAGTTCGAAGTGCACAAGCTAGCTTAATAGCCAATGCAAAAAACTCATCACAACCTTATTAGTATATTTTAAACGGGAAATCGGTAGTAATGACCCTTATGTCCCTTAAATTCCGTTAAGGAGGTTTTTGATGTAAATATCTGTTTATACAGGGTGCTACAAATTCGAGCTGGTATCTCGGAAACCGTAATAGATACGAAGATGGTTAAATTGGGGCAAAGTTGCGTCTTGGACTGTTCACCAAGATGCCATCAAAAAAGTTTTAAAAATTTCAAGGATTGCTGAGTTTTTTAGAAAAAACGGATTTTTTTGAAAACAAATTTTATTTTTTCCTGTCGTTACTTTTTAGAAAATCAAAAAACTAATTACACATTTCTCATAGCCACTTTATTAGGGCTATCTGATAGTATTTTTAGATTTTCAAATTAGCTGATAATTTGTGAGATACAGAGGCCAAGTTAATTTTTTTAAATACGGACCTGCATTTTTTATTTCAGATTTTGAAAGAACTCAGTCTCCTGAGTACAATGATATGCCACACTTTATACTTTCTTTTGCATTCCTTAACAGCAACAAAACTATTTAATTATAATATAAAAAAATGTCAAGTCCGACTCTGTTTTTTAAATAATTTAAACTGATTATATTAATCGCAACAATATTGATCAGTGCTAATTAACATTGAATAAGGAAAATTGAGCCAATTGAAAGATTCAAATAAATGATATCCAGATCAGCAATTTAAAGATATTATTTTTAACTTTTCTAATTGTGAATTTGAAATTCTCAGTGTTCGATCTAATAAATTGCATAATATTAATAGTAGTTATTATGAATAAATTAACTTCTATAAACTAGTATCTAATGCTTTACATAGTCTACATGTTCGAAAGGGCCTCTCTTACAGCCTCCCTATTGCACAAATTTATTTTTCGTTCAATTTTACTTATAGCTTTTGAATAGATCTTCTTATACTTTCGAATGCATTTTTTACTCTTTATTGTAACTGCTGAGATGTGTTGATTTTACTTTTTTGTTAAAATTTGGACCTGTCGAATTACTTAACGTCATCAGACGGTCCAGGTACCTCGCTGGCCATTATACTGCTCTACCATTTCAAATCCATCTTCCGGGGAAATGAGTTGATTGTTTATGTTACATTTTATTTATATTATTTTTTATTATTTTATTGCATTTGATTTACCGTATCCAACCTACGTCACTGTTAAGTTTGAAAGCTTATCAATATTGTATCGATGGATATATTAAATATTAAAAAAAAACAGAGCCGGACTTGAAATTAGTAAATAAATTGTGTCCTAATTTCCAAAACAAAAAAAATATTAAGTGTGGCATATCATTATACTCGGGAGAGCGAGTTCTTTCAAAATCTGAAATAAAAAATGCAGGCCCGTATTTAAAAAATTAAGTTGACCTCTTTATCTCACAAATTATCAGCTGATTTGAAAATCTAAAAATACTATCAGATAGCCCTAATAAAGGGGCTATGAGAATGTGCAATTAGTTTTTTGATTTTCTAAAAAGTATCGACAGGAAAAAATAAAATTGATTTTCAAAAATATCCGCTTTTTCCAAAAAACTCAGCAATCCTTGAAATTTTTTAAACTTTTTTAATGGCATCTTGGTGAACATCTCAAAGCACAACTTTGCCCCAATTTAACCATGTTCGTATCTATTACGGTTACTGAGTTACCAATGCTCGTACCTCGAATTTGTAGCATCCTGTATATTTATAATTAATTTATTTATGTTTCCTAAAATATTTTGATTAAAAGAAAATATGTGAAAGTGGGCAGCGCTGTACCGGTCAAACTTAATCACGTGACGCCGTGACTAAAATTTAATTGGTATGAAGTATATGTATTTTGAATTCAAGCACTAAATATATCATTATCAGAAAAAAAAATCTTATCCTAGTTGTATGTGGTTTAAATATAAAGTCATAAATAAAAGCTTTGTTTTACCATGCGTAACAAGTAATTACAATGAATACCGAATAGAACTTTTATACTTTACCCAGATATGACAATAATGTTCGTTTACTGTCCACAAATGCATATACAATATCGTATAGGCTGGCTTTAAAGAAGTTGATGAGATACGAAGTCAGTAACAATTACGTCGTCATGGGAACTAAAGCCAGAAATGTTGTTGGACGGATCTATGTAGTTATGCGATTATACCAGAGTACCTAATAAGCGAACAAGTACAGTTAGCTTTCTAAGTTAAACTATACGTGATGTCTCTTTAAGAATAATGACATAAATTCACATCGAAAATTAATTACAGAAATGAAAAAAAATGAGAACATAATCTAGGGGTTCGCGTTTCACTAAATTTTATACCTTAAAAGTTGATTTTTCTTCCTTTAATCTTAATTTTTTTAAACCAGTACCTTTTGACATTACCTTTCTGCAGTACTAAAATCTGTTATGTTATTTACCTATCGTGTGATGTCGTTATTTTACAGCTATTCCAGTTTTTAGTACCATAAACGAGAACTTTACTTAAGATGGTAACTTTATTGGTGTATAAAACTCTGTCTGGCCACCGAATATTAACTATAAACTGTGCTCTGGGTCTACAGTTAATTTTCTTTCCATTTTTCGTCCACTTAAGTTCAAAAGACACGTAATAACACGAATCAAAGTGCATTATCCAAAAAGCAGGTTATTTGACATAATTTGACACAAATTATAACCTATAATTTGGCAAGACTTTGACAAGCCTCAAAAATCTTTAGTCGAGTTCATACGTATTTGCGTCCGTGCATCGTTCATCGTTCCGTCACTCCAATAATATTGAAATATGATCTGTCATTTTTTGAAATAAACCAATAAAACTGGTTATATATATATAGAAACTATTGTTAGTTATTAGTTATTAGAAACTTTTTTTAGTAAAATAAATAGATTGGTATGGACGTCATCTGCCTTTTTTTCTGTCATCGTCTGTCGAAATCTTACCTGAGAAAAAAAAACAGAGTATAGTAGTGCTACAACTTGTAATAATTATTTTTATTTAAATTTCAACGAGTACAATCTGAATATTCTGTGACACAAATTATGAAAATTATCACCACACACTTGATCATTATTTTCGTATAAAATCAAGCATATTTAAGTATTTTGGAGATCTACAAATTGATAGAAATAAAAGCTACAACGTGATGCCTATTAGTACCATTTTAGATGCATAATACAGCAGTGTTTTCTACATTTATGGTGTTTATTACAATTTATTTGTTCCGTGTATAGGCGTTTAATTTGCAGAAATAAATTACCCCTCCTGTTTCAAGCGGGGCGATCGACATGTGTCATCTAAATCAGTCCGATATATCCCCGTCCAACTAAAAATGCACAATTCCCAACTGAATCGAAAGAATGCGTTTTTGTGTAGCGCCCATTCTTCCGAAAAAAGCAATATCCGCATCGCATTAGTATCAATGAGTTTGCGTTTGCAAATGACGGGTCCCATTTTCCATATTTTCCAGTTTTCCACAATTTTATACCGATTGATTTCGAAATAAAAACAACGGAAAGTGTATTTGTCATCCCGAAATCACACAAGACCCAAATTATTTGTAGCTTTTGTTAACATTTTTATACGAAATTAGTCAGAGTTGTACAAGATATCTCATAAAAAGTATCTGAAATTGTCGCAACTTGCAACAGAGGAATCGGAGTCCTCTAAAAACTTGTAATAAGATTGGCCTAAGATTGGTCCTTAAAAATTCCCCATTGTTGGTTTTAAAGTGTCCAATTGTTTATTATATTATTAGACGTATGTCAAATACTTGTATCTGGAATAAATCACATTTCTGATTGTATCTTGATCATTGGAGTTTGGAGGATTCCCATTCCAAGTTACGGATGGAGTCTTCCAGGTTCTTGAGTTCAGCTTTAAGTTTCCACTTGGAAAGCAAAACGGTTCTGGTCCAGTTAGAAGAGTGTTCGCTCCTTTTCTAGCTAGATCGTTTGCTTTTTCACTACTTCGTCTTTGAGCTGGCCTCATCAACTATCTCTCAATATATATAAATTGAGACACATACTGTATTATACTCATAAATCTATTTAGAGATTAAACCATAATTTCTGCTTTGTACCAATATATTGCTAAATAAATTTAGATTTAAATCATTTTAATTAAGCAGAACCAATAACACTAAGATATTTTTTTTTAACTTACAATTACAGATAATTTTTCGTCTGCAGGAAAAGAGGGTAGCATATCGTTCGGAAGACCAGATAACGACTTAACCGAAGACCGTATCGCTCACATTCTCAACGAAGCCAATCAGTTCACTCAAATCAAAACTGAATCGGACACTCACAGCAATGAGGACTCGAAATCGCCTCACGGGTGCACCAGTCCATTCTCGAAGGATTCCTCGCTAAACAAGAGATTGAAAAAGTATGAGAACGATGATATTTCTCAGGAGAAAGTTGTCAGGATTTATCAGGAAGAATTAGCCAAACTGATGGGCAGAAGAATGGATGAGATTCGGAGTCCCAGAGAAGGTTTTCCTCAAGGGTAAGTTGTGCTTCTTTCGGTTTCATTCATAGGCGCTCAGTTGGTACTGACCAAGCGTGGCAAAGGAATTATTGTCTCTGTTCATATTACCTCTGCATTTATTTGTTTTGACGCTCTCGTTTGCATCAAATTGCCTGTAATTTGATACTTGTTGGATTAATTTTAAATTATTCACGTCTATACAATGATTCTTATCAAAAATGCTTTGGGTACCGCAAGATTTATCCGGTCTACCATATCTTATCTGAGCCATATGTTCTTTAAATTTTGTTAATATTGATCTTATAGTTTGCCCACAACATATTTTTGATTAAAATCTTTACATGAAATTTCATAAATACTCGACCAGTGGAGGTGTTTTATCTTTAGGATTACTTAATAAATGTTGTAATTTATTATTAGCACACATATACAAGTTTATAATTATTCATATTCTTGAAAATTCTTTTTAAACCACGAGATAACTCTATCAAACGGTATTGAAATATAATTTCTTTATGTTTGATATCTTTTGGTGGTAAGTGGAAAACTAAGTAGTCTATGAACTAAGAAATTTAAACTAGCCATTTTATGTTCAATACAATGATAATAAGACTCATTAGGAATATATCTGTGTGTAGAACCACATGCCTCCACTAATAAAAGAAATTAATTATTTCTTCAATAAACAGTCCTAAAGGGCAGTACTAAACTAATATGTAGTATGTTTTTGCCCCAATTCTTTAGCAACGTACCAATAGACCGATCGGATGAGATTCGAATGGCACTGGACGCATACCATCGAGAGTTAGCCAAAATCAACCAGACTCAAGCATCTCCACAAATGCCATTAGGCTTATTAGCCTTGCAACAACAAGCCTTAGTTCAGCATCAACAGAATCAGCAACAAAATCAACAGGCAATGCAAGGAATTCAAGCAACACAACCGATAGGACAACAGGTAAAACATAGCATAGATATATTTAAGATTACATTTACAGGGTGAGTCATAAATAACAACGTGAGTCTTAAAGAACAGTTCATGAAAAAATATTTCTTTAAATTTTTAGTTAAAAATCGTAATATCTGGATAATATGGCAACATCGGTTGTAGATTATTAAATTAAAAGAGGAACGAAAACACTACATCTCAAGAGCTTTATTTTTTTGGAGGTTTGGAAATGAACCAAAAAATAATCTATCGAGAATAGATGCACCTAGATGATAAAATGATTTTCAAATTTCTTACTTTTTTAACATACTCCACAGGGTGTTTCAAACATTCACCAAAATAAAAACATTCTGTGTTCCCTCGTACAAGTGACAGATAGAAACTTTCGTTTTTAATTTAAAAAAAAAATGCTAAAAAGTCGAATAACTTATCTACAAATTGCTTACAAAATCATCAAAATCGGCCCGTTAGAACAAAATATATTAAATTTTTAAATAAAAGAAAATTAAAAAAAATTTAAAGAAATTATATTATTATATTGTAACTTTTTTCTTGGTATTTCCCCAGAACTCTAATGGAGGTGTCCAGGACTTATCCCTACCAAAAGATAAAGTGAAACTAGTGAATGGTATAGAAGACAGTAAAGAAAAAGACGAAGACACTATGTCACGACATACAGGGAGTGCGTTTAGTCTTGTACGTCCCAAATTGGAGCCTGTATCTGGACCCTCTGGTAACAGTACTGCTTCCAGTCCTTTAGGAAACTCCATACTGCCTCCAATGACACCCACCAGTGAAGATTTTACAGGTAATGTAATTTAAAAGGTTTACACATGATTTAAACTAAAATAGGTTTTCTTTGAATGTGATAGACAACGATTCAGTATTGAAACTAAAAGAATTTCGGACTTCCATTGTCTTTATTATACTGTATAGATATTTAAAACTAAATATTAACATAACTTTATAGGATCAGCTGCAGCTTCACCTCTTCAACGGATGGCCTCCATCACAAATTCACTAATCTCTCAACCCCCAAGCCAGCCACACCATTCCACACCGCAAAGACCTCTCAAAGCAATCTTACCACCAATCACACAACAGCAATTCGACCTGTACAACAACCTCAACACCGAAGACATAGTGAAAAAGGTACGTAAAGTATGATAACTTTAGATTAACCGTCAGGTTTAAAGCTAAGATTAAATTATTTCCAAACAGGTCAAAGAACAACTGAGTCAGTACTCAATTTCCCAGCGCCTTTTTGGAGAAAGTGTATTGGGGCTGAGTCAGGGATCAGTCAGTGATTTGCTGGCCAGGCCGAAGCCTTGGCATATGCTGACGCAGAAAGGTAGAGAACCGTTTATCAGAATGAAGATGTTCTTGGAAGATGAGAATGCTGTTCATAAACTGGTTGCTAGTCAATATAAAATTGCTCCGGAGAAACTTATGAGGACTGGTGGTTATGGTACGGGTAAGTTATTATTATATTTATGTTCCTTTAAGAGATATATACCGGGTGCGTCTGAAAAGTGATTGACCCCAAAAGTTCAAAAATAACTTTTTTATTTTATTAGGTAACAAAACGTGACTTGGTATGGTAGTATATGTAAGTATAAATTAGGATTGATTGACGTATTCAATTGTTTTTGGTCACTTCCTTTTTCACCGGAAATTACTACAACTTTTGATTTTTAAATGGCACCCTCGGTATATTTTTACTTTATTCGATAGAAAATGAGACTCTGGATAGAATGACATATCATATGTCAACTTTTGATATTTTTGCTTTAAAAAATCGTATTTTAAATTTCAATCTAGAGCGCTATGTTAGAAACACTAATTTTTAATCCAGAAGCCTTGGAAAAATAGATTTGATTGTCTAATGTTTTCCGTGTCTTGTCCTGGTCGGTTAAAAGATGCCCAAATCGTATTTTTAATCATATCTCAATTTTTTTAAATGGAACAAGGGTGGCTCAGCATATTTGGAAAAAGCATTTTTTTACGAATAATTTGATACCACACTTAGTATTTCGAGTCAAATTGTCGTTATGAACCGCATGTTATAATTTCAAATAAACCATATGCGAAAATGTCAAAAGTTGTGACATATTATATATAATAGATAATAAGTCTAACTAAAGTGTCATTTTCTATCAAATAAAATAAAAATATACTGAGGGTGCCATTTATAAATCAAAAGTTGTAGTCATTTCCGGTGAAACAGGAAGTGACCAAAAATAATTGAATACGGCAATCAATCCTTATTTATGTCATATACTAACATAGCAAATCTCGTTTTTTCATCTGAAAAAATAAAAAAGTTATAGGGGTGTGCCACTTTTGAGACGCACCTGGTATATTTATAGTTACGCCCTCTAGCGGCTCTATTCTGCAAACTTGAAAATAATTTCCAGCAATTTCTCATGGCATCTTTAATTAACTGTAATTATTTTTTTGTTTAGCGTGTTCAACGTCTCTTTCAAAACCGCCCAATCTTCAGCCAACGTCAAAAATGCTCTCAGATGCAGCTGGATTATTGACTAAAATCCAGCAAGACTCACAGAATCTTTCCAACTCCCTGCAGCTTGGTAAGCATTTTTGTTTGTAACTCTGCGAAACCCATTCTACAAAATGAATCTTTATTTTTAGGCCCCCCTCAGGTAAATCAGCCTCCATCACTAGGTCCCCCTAGTGCTGCCCAATTATCCCAAAGTCAACTATTAACTCCCCTAGGAATGCCCCCACATCACGCTATAGCATTACAGAATCAAGACTTGTTAAAAAAACAAACTCATGCGTTACAAGGAGGTAAATGATATTTTTTTCCAAAAAATGCAGAATTTTTATTTTAATTTAAACGGTTTTTACAGGACATGGAATACCAACGCATCCGAGTATAGGACATCAGTCGATAAGGAATATGCACCAGCATATAAGTCCGAGTGTTTATGAGATGGCAGCACTGACGCAAGATCTGGATACACAAGTTATTACTACGAAAATCAAGGAGGCGTTGTTAGCAAATAATATTGGCCAAAAGGTAAGCATTATTTATTATTATTCTATTATACAGGGTGGCTCCAAAAAGAAAGATAGTTTGTATTGAAGTGAAATTTTGGGAGCATTTGTAGATTAACTGAAAGCACTTTATAAAATTACTAGCGTGTACCCGCGCTTCGTTCGCGTCGAATTAATCATTTGTAATGGTGATGATAAAGCAAAGCAAGAATTTCCATTAACATGCTTAAGATTTTTCGAAACACCCTGTTTTAAAAAATCTTAAAATATGTAAAAAAACAAAATAAAATATACATGTTTAAGCGTTTTTTCGGAAACTTGACCGTTTTTTAAATAGAAAATATTGTAATATTTGAGGGGTGGTTTCACCCCCTTGGAACTGGAATTTCGAAAAATCCCTCCTTATCGAACCTCTACACCCTAGAATCAATCTGTATGCCAAAATTGAGCTTCTTACGTTGAGTGGTTTGAGCAGGATCGCGATTAATCAGAGAGTCAGTCACTTAAGGATTTTATATTATATATTATATTAGTATAAATTAGTATAGATTAAAATTAAATGATCATTATTTTAACGAGAAATTTGATTTTTTTACAGATTTTTGGTGAAGCAGTATTGGGTCTTTCTCAAGGATCGGTTTCGGAGCTTCTGTCCAAGCCGAAGCCTTGGCATATGCTTTCTATCAAAGGCCGGGAACCTTTTATTAGGATGCAGCTTTGGCTCCAAGATGCACATAATGTAGACCGGTAAGCCTTATTTACAACATTATTATTATTTATTCTTGATGCCAATTTACGCATTACATATATTATTTATTTCTTACAGATTACAAGCATTAAAGAACGAACGACGAGAAGCCAATAAACGGCGAAGAAGTTCTGGTCCTGGACAAGATAACTCCAGTGACACCTCCAGCAATGACACTTCGGAATTCTACCATTCGAACAGTCCCGGACCTCAGGGTGCACCCAATGCCAAAAAACAAAGGGTGCTCTTCAGCGAGGAGCAAAAAGAAGCCTTAAGGCTAGCCTTTGCTTTAGATCCTTACCCCAATGTAGCTACTATCGAGTTTTTGGCTCAAGAGTTGAGTTTAAGTAGTCGAACTATAACTAATTGGTATGTATGTTAATAATTTTATATCAATTAAACTTTTAGTTAAGTAATCGAGGGCGCGATTTTTAAATTCATTGTTGCCAACCATGGACATATTCGGCGCCGCGCTGACTAACTGGAATTTCAATTTCGCGCTTGGGATTCAGGTGGTAGCCCTGCTGTAAAAAATGTCAAGTTGCCGCATTTATTTATTTCCTGACATTGTCATTCTTTTTGACACTTTAGTTTTGTATTACGAGTTGGTTTAAATAAATAATGTTGAGATAAAAAAAAATCCTAGCAGTCCTTGCTGTCGGACATTGTTCTTTTTAGAACCTCTTTTAGTGCGAAGTGAAAGAAGCTTAATAGCTGTTGCAAAAAACTCATCGAAACGTTATTAGAATATATTAAACGGGAAAGCGGTAGTAATGACCCTTTATTTCTCTAAAGTGCTGTTAAGAAGGTGAGTTTTGTTGATGGAAATAATAACTGTTTATATATTTATAATTATTTTTTTGGTTTCCTAAAATATTTTGATTAAAAGAAATATAAAAGTCAGCAACGCTGTGCAGGTAAAGCTTAATCACGTGACTAAAAGTTTATTTGGTATGAACTGTATCTGAAGCCAAACATTAAATAGATTACTATTGTTAAATAAAATTATTTTAAAGGTTCCACAATCACCGTATGAGATTAAAACAGCAAGTGCCGCACGGCATGTCACCGGATATCCCTCCAAGAGACCAAAACAGCTCACAGCAACCTTTTGATCCAGTGCAATTCCGAATTTTACTCAACCAACGACTGATGGAGTTGAGCAAAGAAAGGATGGGTTTGGCAGGAGTACCGCTGCCTTATCCACCATACCTAGCTGCCAACAGTAGTTTAGCTGCCTTAATATCCAGAGGATTGCTTCCAACAGGTAAAAAATCGGCATTTTAAATGTTTTTCCGTACTTTTAACACTAATTATTATTCTCTAGGTGACCTGAATGACCTCACGGCTCTGAACAATGCGGTAAAGGAACAAATGAGTGGACTGGATCTGAGTATGAGTTCACTGAAGCGAGAACCAAATGAGTTTGAGGATGAGGACGATGTGGAATCGAATGTGGGATCGGAGGACTCGAACATATCAGGAAGCTTACACGACGAGACCAAACACGATGTCAATAAAGAAACCAATGTTTCTAGGTACGTATAGGTATTATTATTTGCATATCTTCTTCTGCTGCTGCAATCCAAAATATTTTTTATCTTTATAAACTCGTGATGGATATGTTGCTAAACATAAAAACCACCATTGTTCAACATGTAAAAATTATTAAATTTTTTTCACAATCTCGAGGTATCTGATTCACCGTTATTTTATTTTCATCAACCATTATCACTAGAACATCAGTTGCTGTGACACTTTTTTTTCGATCATAGGGTATTCTCGCTAAATAGACTATTTTATTAAATCACTCAGTAAATTTAAACGTGATGTCATCCAAAAAGTATCTATCCAATCAACAGATGTTACATCATATAGGCCTGTCAACTGTCTGATATTTACCGGCCAAGACATTTTCTTTATTCCGATACCTCTGAGGTCTTCGCTTTACTTGTTTTTGATCAACAGATGCAAAAATTATAAAAATAAAAATATTTTCTGAATTATATTTCAGTGGGAACCCAAATCAAGGCAGATCTTCGAGAAGAAAACCTGCTGCTCCAATGTGGGTAAATCCCCACTGGGAGGAAGAAAAGCACTCGCAATCCAATCAAGAAAAACCACAAAATGCACAGGACGAGATCATCATCAACGGGGTAAGATAAATTGATTTTATTAAACAGAGATTGTAGATTTAATTGAATATTGTGTAGGAGAAGGAAGTTATTCATCGCGACCTTTCGGCAAAAGCCAGTATCTGAGACGGTTTTACAGAGGTTAGTTCTCATTCATCCCCAATATCAGCCATACCAAAGTTTATGGCACGAATTGTTGTCGTCTCGCGCACTCAGTGATGAGGTGCTTTGGTGTTTCCCCATTTACCCCACGGAATCTGCATTCGCCGTTGTTTCTTAGCTTCAATCTACTGAGACAGTGTCCTGTTAAAACCCCCGTGTCAATCCGAAGATTGCTCCTACCTCCTACTTAAATCAAGGGAAATCTTTGATTTTTCTAGGTCTTAAGTCGTGAGAAATTTCTTCTTCTAGTATCTTAGACCGTTGGAGCATTCCCATTCCAGATTACTGTGGAGTCTTCCGGGTTGTTGAGTTCCGCTTTAAGTTGGTTTCCACTTGGGAAGCAGAACAGTTCTGGTCCACTTAGTGCAGTGTTCGCTCTTTTTCTAGCTAGATCGTTTGACTTTATTGTTATTATCTTTGCTTAATTTCTTCAGCTTCTTCAGATATTCTTTGACCAACTTGAAATTGATGGTTACTGAGTTGATCGCTTTTAATGCTACTTAACCATCAGATAAGATGGCTATTTCTTGTTTCCTATTAAATAGTTTCTATCTAAGATAAGTTGTACGCATCTTTCGATAGCGTAGATTTCTGCCCGAAGGATGGTGGGGGTAGATACCCATTGGTTAGGAGTATTTAGTTTTCGGCCTAAATACTCGTATCCTTGTCCCTGCTTTGGTTTTGGAAGCATCAGTATACCACTTTTACCTGCTAAGCAAACGTTTCTCTCTTCAGTTCTCAATCCTTTTAATTGCTCAATACCACAGTGAGGTGTTTCTCAAAGTTATACATTCTTGGTATGCCATCCACTGGAGGAGTGGATTTTTCCTGTTGAGAGTGTTCCAAGCTCCCGAGTTGATAATTCTGCCAGTACTATTTCCGTCAATGACCATTCTAATCATTCTATTATCGGCATATCTACCGACGACGATGTGCAATGGTGTTAGGTCTAGAATGATCGCCATTGCTGCTGTTGGGCATGTTCTCATAGCACCTGTGATACAGAGGCATGCCAGTCTCCGTACTTTGCACAGGATTTGCCTTGCTGTACGTTGCTCTAGTTTTGTGTACCAAGCAACTGCTCCATAGGTAATCATGGGTCTTACTATCATGGTATACATCCAGCGCAAAATGTTAGTTATCTATTTCCCGCCAGTCTTCTGCACATTATGGGAGCCTTTGTGGCTTTGCTGGTAATGTTCTTAATATGCCTGTTCCAGGGAAGTTTACTGTCCAGAGTTATTCCCAGATATTTGACTTCCTGTGATGGCACTAAACAATTTCCTTTCCGTACAGATGGATTCTTTTTAAGTTTTTCAGACTTCGCTTTCTGGGGGCACTAAGGGGCCCGACATTACAGCACCATCTCTCAGTGATACGGAGTCCTCTTTGGACAATATCACACAGGATGCCTTCATGTTTCCCCCGAGCGATCATGACTATGTCATCTGCATACCCTATGCGGTGTATTCCCACTAGAGTTAATTTGTCTAGTAGTTCATCCACTACCAAGCTCCACAGTAGGGACAGGTTACTCCATCTACTCTAACTAGAGTTTTGGTACCCATCTGAGCCTCTGCTATCCGTGTTAAGAGTATTTTCCAAACCAAGACGACATCAGCTTATATTAATTCAGTAAGTAATATGATATATTATCTAATGCGAGACTATTTTTTTCTAGGTATGCGTAATGCAAACAGATGATAACTACGCGCAGAGACGATCGACGTCTGAAGAAACGATTCGGATTGAACCTCAAGCTGTCTTGGATCGCTTTGAGGACGATCACAGTGAAGCCAGTAGTGTGAGCAACGATGATCACCATCACCAACGGTCTCACGACAACGAAGGTGATGTAGTTGAAGCAGACAACCAGCAATCTGACGTAAATGACACTGGTGACAGGAATAATGACAGGGATGGTGAGTGTAGTAGTAAAGAAGTAAAACAGGAAAATGCAGACGAACATTGGGAGTATTAAGGGTCATATTGTGTACGTATAAAAATACGGAGACTGCAATATAAATATGTATCACTTTGATGATCTTTTTTGAAAACATAATGTAAATATATTATATATTTAACGAGTACCTTATATATAATTATGTAACATATTCTTACTGCTGTACGATATATTATGATACTAGAATGAAACAATGATGTTTCCATAAAGAATTATTGGAAAAAAAGACACGTTAACTTTGTTATTTTTAAAATAACAGAAAAGAGTTTGTGATTATGTAATAACCGGACAAATGATAAGCAAGGTTTAGATACACTTCACAATTCGGGAAAACCTTAAAAGATTTTTTGTTAAAAGGCAATTTAGTATTATTTCAGATGAACTAGAGAGTTCGTAAGACAGTGTATAGTTATTTGATCTTCTTTTTGATAAAAATGGTTTAAAACACACAAAAAGAAGAAGAATATATCATTTTAGTTTCTTATATTTACTGTATGATTTACTAAAAAAATAGCATCTTCAGATCCTATAATCTTCGTGGATAAAGATACCATATGATCGAAAAAAACCGGTGTCAAAGACCCCCCCAGCTGGGAACATTATTTATCCACGAAGATTGATAAGATCTAAGTATCTATTTATCTGATGTAACTTAAACAAATTTCTTTAAAATGTGCAATTTTTTAACTTAAAAAAAACACAGGCGTGTAAACCCGATACAATTTTAAAGCTAGCTTTAAGATGACTAAAAATCGGAATCAATAGTTAAGATAAACATTGTGATGTTCTATGATTTAAATCGTAATATTTATTAGTCGATAAGTTTTAAATTTATTAAAGAAAATGTTCAAACTTATTGTATTAAGGTTTCTACTGCACTAAAATCATCGTCTTGCCAAGAATTGTTGTATTATTATTTAATTATATTATTTAAAAATAACTTTAAAGTAAAACTGCAAAAGCTATACACTTTTAATAAAATGAATCGCATAAAAAATAATAATGAATTGAAAAATTCAGATAGAGCTAATCTAATAGGTATATTAAAATAATAAGAGGAATATAATAAAACAATAATAGAAGTAAAATTTTTCAGTGAAAGATTTTATTAAAAAATTGGGAAATAAAAATACTAAATTACATGTATTAAATTTAAATCCTATGAAAACGAATACCAAAAAAGAAACATTGTAATAAAAATACCGTATGAACGAAAAAAAACGGCGTCAAAGACAGCTGAGGAATGATAATCGATAATAATTTTGGCGAGGTCAATCTTCAAACGTCATTTTATAGGATTTTTGATATATTGAGGCACAATATTGATATGAATAATATATCGATATATCGAAAACAGTATATTATAATAATAGAAATATTATTATATGTATATACAGGCGTGCTTTTTTTGAGTGGTAAACTATTGAAATTCTTATATAATCAGAATGTTCTGTGAGGTTTTCGCAATATAATCCGTTATCCACATAACATAATATTTAGAAATCTTTGTTTAATAACAACTCTCACATAATTCATTGTTTCTCATAAAAATTATAAAATCAACAGTAAAATTGTGGTTTCGCAGCCGTCTTTGACGCTCTTTTTTTTTGGAAGGTATGGTATTCTTTCCCCTCTCTCTCTAAATATTTTAATATACTTAGATTAGCTATATTGCAAATATAACTTTTGGAGAGTTGTATAATTGTTTCAAACAAAAAATTTTCAATAAAAAAAAGTGAGTACTATGTAAGAATATGATATCCAAGATATAAAAAAATATCAATTAGCTATCTCTTGGGGGTCTCTGTACAATTATTTAATGATAGTTTGGTTCTCAACTCGATATAATTGTAGATAGAAACATAGTAGTTAAAAGAAGACTGTTAAACATGTTACAATATTTTTAGTCTTATTTAATTTTTATATATTATATACTATGGCTAAGTAAAATATGTTTTAAACATTTTGTGATATATAAGCTAAAGTTTCGGTTTAATAATACTTTTATTTACCTACCATTTTATTATTATATTGCTTTTATCTGGTATATAATAATGGATAAATAGTTTTTAAGACGAAGTTAGTAGGTTTCGAGTTATACAGGATGTCTCAATATTCCGTGGACGTAGAACTACGACGTATTTTTGGAATCAAAATAAGGTCAATGGACACAATTTAACTTTATACAAAAGAGCTTCGTTTTGTCCATCAAAAAAAAATAAACCCAAACGATAATCAATTAAAAATTTATGATGCTTATTGTCAAATATAATTTGTGATACTTTTGTAATACTAACCATCTTCATTCGCCATGTGTCAAGTGTGTAGGGTAGTTTTTGCCTTTTCTGTACCTTTTTCCTGATTTTTGTGAAAGTCAAATGTTGAAGCACTTAGCAAAACATAAGCACCCCAAATCTCATTCAAATCGGAATAACGGTTTTTAAAATATCTTAAAAAACGTGTTTATTTTTAAGTTCACGCCTCTAACGGACAAACGAAGCACTTTTGTCTAAAGGTAAATTGTGTGAAATTAACTTAAATTGATTCCAAAAATACGTAGAAGTTCTATGTCTATGAATTATTGGAACACCCTGTATATAATAAAACTCAAAACTTATGAACAAATAAAGGCCAAAAAATGATTGCAATTGTCTTGTATTATATTTAAATAAAGCATAATAATAATTCTCACGATAATTTTTAAAGTAATTACTAGGTTATTGAGTAGATTATAACGAGATAAATCCAGTTTTTTGGGGTATTACATTATATGTATATAGAAAAGAAAGACAATTAAATAATGAATAGCAGAAGTTTTCAATTAAAAATGAAATACAAATTATTGAAGGCTGGTTTATACTTCCTATGTTTTTTGTTACATATATTACAGTATAAAATTTTCCCAAAAATGATTTGAGCATAAAGGCACCTAAATATGGACCACTATAAAACAAACAATTCAAATTAACTAAAACGTATATCAGATTTTTTTTATTAATCACATTCAGACAAGACCTCTAAAATAATCAACAAACATGTAATCAATGCATTGTTATAATATACTAGTTCCGAAAAACTAACATTATATTTACTATTGGTATTGAGCATTGTTTTTTTATTCTGCTGCTTGGCTGCCGCCTAACAGTTTAAAAAGAAATGCCGCTGTTAAAAATTTATCATAAAATATATAAAAATCTGACTTAACCTTTATAAAATAGGGTGTATTCTGTTGCTTACCTTGGTTATGGTTTTATGTTCCGTTTCTATCGGTTTCCTGAAAGTTTTCTTATTATGGAACACGGTCCTGAAAAATTCGGTTATCACTGGTTAGCACTGTTACCAAACTAACCAGCGCGAGAAGGCTGGTTTTTCTGGTTTTGTTTGTCTCAATCATGTCATTTATGACATGATTGTGTCATAAATGTGAACATAAAAGGTTGTGACAGACATCAAGCAAATATTGAAAGTTCGAGTGAAATTCTCATTTAATTTCTAAAATTTGTAATAATATTTTGTATTTACATCCAAAAGCAATCGAGGTAGGCAGTAAAGGTAAATAAATTTCATTAACTAAATAGAATGACTTTTTAGGACCATTTAAACTTATCATGCAGCCATTGTTTCTTAAAGTCAGAAACATTTAAAGAAAACATGAAAAACAAGACAACGAGTAATCGTGAATGTTTTGTAAGCTATAAAAATATAAATATTGATTAGATTTGTTTATTTATTATTGATCTGTTTTAATATTGGACCTGCAAATCTTCACTTGAGCTGTCTAACGAGTTTAACAGTTTATTAATAAAGTACTTTTCAATATTAAACTCCATTGAAATGGAGAAGCAAATATAAAAGCAGAGAATAGGTACATTAAAAATGCACAAAAGATAAATTTTATAATAGAGGTATGAAAATTTCGAAAACGTCAACATTTTTGACGTTTCCAGTATTTTACCAAACCGTTCCGTATCAAACCGATGTTTTTCAGGAACCGCTCTTTACCGTAGTTTACCGGTCTAGTTCGCCTAGTTTTCCAACGGAATACAGCCTAAGTCAGCTCTGATTACATTCATATGAAATGAATTCAAGTGACTCTGCTTTACATTCGAAGTATGAACCAATCATTGATTGCATCTGATCTACATAACAATCTAGTCCAATATATTATACCGATGTCAATATTTAATTCACAGATTTGAATTAACTAGAACCTGATAAAACAAATAAAGGGCATATATAAGAAATACTTCCAAAATCAAAATGTACAAAGAGGCCAGTAAGTAAAATTAAAGTTTTCGCTTTTTTTACTTTAAAAAATATTTTTTTAATCAAGTTATTATTACTTTCCACTAAAATAGCTTTAATTTTTTCTCGAAAACTAACTTAAGATATACCTTTCTGAACATATCGTTAAGAGTTAAGTCATGAAAGTCTTAAAAACATTTAAAATAGCTGTAATATAATATTTGATCCACCCAGATGAAGAATTTAATATTGTTAATACTGTTAAAACACAATAAATTATCTATTTCATTTAATTTATTTTTTTTCAAGACAAAATAGCACCAAAAATATTTTTAACAAACTATTATGTGCAATATATTAATAATATATTCGTTAACTTTGTATTTGAAAAGTTTTTAGTTGTTTTTATCTAAATTTAATGTTCTTCGAAGGCGAGTTCTTCACCTGTCACTCAGCAAGTATGACTGATTCAGTGTTACTAAAAGAACATTGAAAACTTCAGTAAATTATAACTTTTATTACTAAAATAATAAGTGGACAGTTCAAAATTTTCATGCGATTTCCTATGTTTCGAATAACGATGCACCACTTTGACAGACATTTTATAGCTTTACGTACCTACTAGTAGAACTGAATCAGTCATACGGCCGTTCAGTGGGAACTCGCCTTAATTTTAGTAATGTTAAAGAAGTTTTTTACGTTTTTTTTGCGTTACGGAGAGCAAAACAGTTCAAAAAAAGAAAAAAATGAAATGCTTCCGAAAAAAAATGTTTCTTCCGAGTATATTGTACCTAGGGTACCAAAAAAGTAAAAACATTGTAATAAAAACTCAAATACGTAATTTTTGTCTTACTCGAGACATCAGTATATTTAGCAAAATATGTATATTTAACTGCACATTTTTAAATAAAACATACGTAGAAAGTTTTAGGTAAAAAGGTCTTTTTAATCCTTTTGACAAGAAGGAAAATAACTGCGAACGTATTTGACTTTTTCTAGTTTTTTTTTATTTTGAATAGCTCTATTATCCAAAAATATCCCTTTCAAGTAATTATATAAACTGTTAGTGATAATTTGACAGGGATATTTTTGAAATAAGTGACAGGTTATCTAAAATAAGGTGATTTTAAGGTATATGTTAAATTGTTTTATACATGCTTAGAAATCGTTTTTAAATCTATAATATTCTTATTTTTATTATTAATATTTACCTGTGTACATAATTATACCATATCAAGATTAAAGATTTCTAAATTAAATTTTTTTCTCTGTAATTATATATGAGTTTTATTTGTAACTCTTCTACGTTATTACCCGAAGTACCTGATCCCTAATTACCTAACTCTTCTACATAAAGACCTTCATCCAAGGATCTTCCAAGTATCAGTTCTAAAACCACAAAGGAACTGCTAGAGTGATCGCATCTAAAGGTACGTCCATAGTGCACCGGTTTTCCCGTGGCCGGCTGATTTCGCGGCAGGTCTTATCGCTTTGTAAACCTGCGGCGTTGAAGCAGGTAGTGGTTATTAACAACCGCTTGCAGGAAGCGGGAATATCATTTGGTATCGTGGAGCTATCCCGAATCGCTATCCCGATTCGTATTAAACTGATACAAAAAAGTACTACTCGCGTTCATTTTGAATTTGGTAAATATTGTTACGGATTCCGTGGGTCCACTAATTTAAACTCACGATAAAATACTTTTACTTTATAACACAATTAACTATTAAAATAAGCCTTCGCCAAATTGTCACGATTCGCAATTTAAACCAATAGTATTTTCAAACTTCAAACTGGCTCAACTGCCGAGCGCGGGCTGTTTATATATCCTAGCGGCTGCTTTTGGAACGTTCGAACATTATCTGTAATTTTCGATACTATTCTGCCATCTACCAGTAAATTCTGCTGCCTGGTTAGAACTCGTTTTTCTACTTGGCTAAGAGATGGCGTCTCAAACAATGTCGTTAACCAGCAATACACGTTGCGGTTAATTACTTCTCCGCCAGATGTCGCCACACACACCTTTACAATTAGTGATGGGTAAAACCAATTAATTTCAATAATCAAGTACTCCAGTTTCAAGCGATTGCAATAACTGAGTGATCGCTCGAGCGAAATATCACTCGTATTTAAAAATACGGATTTTCACCCATCGCTTGTTTAAGTACTCGTTAACGCCAAGGGCCAAGCAGTAAATTGCGTGCGCAGTGATGAATGGCAAGTAGCAAGCGGCGAGCGATTTGCTTGATTTAGTTTATTTCAAAGCATTGTCGATGTAGGTCGTAAAATTTTGTCCCTCGGATACGCAACGGATAAATATATATACGGCGTCGTATAAATTTGCTACCTGCAATGTATGTAGAAAATTCGCTCGGCTTTTTATCGAGTATGTCACATTAAAATCGGATTTCAATTTATTTCATTCTAGGATCGCTTGCGTTCGTCGCTTGGTACTCGTCACTTGCATCGCTCGTTCATAATGGAGCGATGTCGGCAGGGTTCGGAAAACTACATGTTACTTTTAAAACCTACATAAACTACATTACATGTAGTTAATATAGTTTATGTAGAGGGTGTAGTTTATGTAACCTATGTATGTAACTTTCAAATATCAAAGGTTTGAGGTGAGGTTGTAATAAGTTGAAGCTTTAGAAAACACAATGTATTTAAGAAAACAGAAGAAATATGGCTTGAAATATAATATTCATACATCATATTATTTAGACCCCTCATACAAAGCAAAATTATTCATAATATCAATACATAGTTTATTAACGTAGTTTTCATGTAGTTAATAAACGATATTATAATAAATATTTGAAGAAAAGCTACACGTAGTTAATCAGGTAAATTACGTCCTAATTAACTACTTCCGAACCCTGGATGTCGGTTATTTCAATAATCGAGTACTCGAGCGAATTTTCGCTCGAGTTATCCCATCACTATTTACAATATCATACGTTATATACAAGGGTTATATCTACAACTCACAGCTCACCCTCAAAAATTTTACGAATATTTCCGCATGAAGAAAGAAACGTTCAGGTATACTTCCAACAAAATTGAAAACCGTTTAAAAAATGCTACAATTTTCAAAATATATAGATGTACGCAAGACGGTTATGATTAAAATCGATTAATTTTTAATAATTTTGTAAGTAAATAACTTAAATTGTGCTAAAGCATAACCTTTATTGGAAGTTTAGAAGTGCGCCGAGCAGGGTAACTAGAAACTACTACCCATAAGGTACACGCGATCCGCCTGAAAAGTCCCGGTCGACAAGTTAGGCCGTGATTTCAACCTTAATTTACTGAGCTATACTTTTATCAGGTATCTTACTCTATCTATCTCGGATGGTTTCTAATAAAAAAAAACAACGAATGTACTAGAAACAATATTTATTTTAAAAAAATATAAAAATATATATAAAGAAAATTATTTATCACTGTGTATAAATTAAATGCACAAATAATGTTTTCTCTCAGTGCATTTTTTGACCCTAACATCCTTAGTATAATATCACTGTGATTTTTTTTAATCTATATGCATTCATTCAATTCATATTCCTCAGTTTCACTACTAGAATCCGACAAAGATATACAATATTTTTCATTAAAAGTTTTCTCAAATAAATCTTCATTTTCTTGCTCAGTTATAAAAAAACTCGAACAATGAATCTGGTTGTCCTTTGTATCACATTCAACATCAAATTCATTGAAATTATCAAGTTTTTCATCAGAATTGTCTTCTTGTTTATTACAACTCCTTATATATTCATCAGCAATATTTCGCAGCTCATTCGCCACAGTTTTTTTAGATACTATTTCTTCTATTATACCCGATACATCAAGATCACTTTCATCTCCAAATCGTGATACATCGAAATTAAATGACGTATTTTTATTAATAATTTTACAGGGTGTTGAAGAACTCAAAGCCACATCATCCTTCGCAACTGATTTTTTAATAATTTCTTTTTTGTTCAACAAATTTTTTAAAGTTTTCTGCGTTTTTCGAGGCTTTGGTTTTACTTTTGTTGTTGTAACTTCTGTAATGCTGGTATTTGCGAGATTTTCAGCTAATTCGTCAATTTGGCGTTTTTTTCTTTTGCTTGGCTTTTTCGGTGGTTTAATTTTCGAGAGGTTAAAGGCCTCAACTAAATCAGGATATGCGACGTTTACTAAAACTTGCGGTTCTATAGTAACAAATAATTTTTCTAGATCACATTCTGTTTTTTGTTCTTCGGGTATAAGATTTTTAAAGCTATCTGTCGTATCAACCCAAATGATTTCATAACTTGGTATACCTGAAATCCAAAAAAAAATGTGTGTGCACTATGTGCGCATATTTGAAGTGAAACTTCTTACTAACAGCTATTAAATTGAAGGATTTGAAGAATATACATTTTTTTATGAACGCTTTTTATAAACTTCAAAAAATGCTTCTAGCTTTATAATTTTATGTTTTATTAATTTTTATTAAAAGACGATAATCCTATCACTCGGCCGGATAGTCTGACAGCTGTGGCCATTAAACTAAAATACTACATCTATATCTCTGAGTACTACTAACTGCTACTAATTTGTTTTGTGTGGTCTGTTTCTGTTTAAATGTTTTGATCATAATTCATGTTGGGGATTTATTTTCAAATTAATGTTAATCATCAGGCAAACTCATAGAATATGTATTATTTCTTTTACATAATCAAAATTGTCACTTTAAATTTTACATAACCACCCTAAATCGCTGTCTGTTTTAGACAGATGTCACTTGTCTTGTCATTATTCAATTCATTATTCGAATTCTCAGAATGTTGTTAACAAAAGTTTCATCTTAAAATAAAATTTTAATCAATCACAATTGTTTATCTCCATCATTTACCGGATTAATAATATAGAAATTACAGTTCAATTACTAAAAAATCATTATTTATAGTGCTTTACAGTAATTTTATTAAATTATATGAAAATTCTCGTTGATTATTGGTTTGAAATAAATATGACAGTGTCATCCAATAAAAATGCGGGTTACTAACTCTAAATTCTAATTCTGAGCTGGCAAATGAGCTGGAAAATTTACTTCCTAGCACACAAGGTTGGTACAATATCAAGTTTATTATAGTGATTTTCTTAGCCGCGTATGACACAGATCGTTACCTTGTTCCACAGAAGTTTACTGTCCAGGGTTATTGCCAGATATTTGACTTCCTGTGATGGTAGTAATTTTCAGCTGATGGCATAATTTTTTCTTGTGCAGCTCCAAAATTCTGTACTTAGTATAATTTTTGAAATAAAACTTCTGTACGCGCTTTGGGAGTAAAAATGCAAGGGCGTGACACCGTGGTATTGGTGACACTCGGTTTTGAATGAGGGCCGCGAGACGGCCGTGACGCGCGAGAGAAAAAGTGATAGCGGCAGTGTTGCCACAGCTACCCCATTCGGGGTAGATCTACCCCTTTGTAAAACAATTTAACCCCGCTATCTCGTGATAATCTACCCAATGAAAAATAAGCTGGCAACACTGCCAGTGTTGGCAGAAAAAAAATTCGAGCAAAATTTTCAACCTCACAAAAAATTCCAGATCTTGTGAAAAATCACCAAATTTCGTGTATTTTACCTATTCTATAATTTTAGGAGAAAATTTTCTGGTAATTTTTGGACACCGATGTATTTAAATAAACTTTTTACTAAAAAAATAGCACGATCAAAAATGCTGTGATCTGTGATAGATACTCAACAGAAGTATTATAAAGAATTTTTCGAAAAATTCATGGCTTACAATGAGTGCTTCAACCGGGAATAATTAATCGTGAAAAAGACGCCATGATCAGCTCACTTATTAGATATGTTTTCCGTTTACCTATTTATATCTTTTCAACATCAAGAACTTTGGTTTAGTTATAGTTGTTGAAAGATAAAAATGAAGGCCACATTACCTCTTGGATTTCTTATTTTCTTTATCTTGTCAGGTGTAACAATTCCTTTGAAATCTGACAGACTTTTGACATATTCCGGATTTTTACACTGCCATCTAGTTAGCATGGGGAATATTTTATCAAAGGCATAGTGTTCCTCCCATTGTAAAAATTTACTAGCAAATTTCTACAAAAAAATACCAATTTTTATTTATTATACCGGGTGCGTCTCAAAACTGGCTCAAAATAACTTTTTTATTTTTTCAGATAAAAAAAACGACATTTGGTATCTTAGTATGTGACATTGTCACATAGAATGTGGCAAATTAGGATTAATTGACGTATTCAATTGTTTTTGATCGCTTCCTGTTTCACCGGAAATAACTACAACTTTTGATTTTTAACTGGCACTGAAGAATGACATGTAAACTTTTGACATGTTCGTACATGGTTAATTTGAAATTGTAACACGCGGTTCCTAACAACAATTTGACTCGAAATACCAAGTGTGTGGTACCAAATTATTCTTAAAAAAAGCTTTTTCCAAATATGCTAATGATCCACCTTTGTTCCGTTTGAAAAAATTAAGATATTTTTAAAAATACTATCTGGGCTTCTTTTAACAGGCCAGGACACGAAAGACATTAGAAGATCAAATCAATTTTTTCAAGGCTCCTTGATTAAAAATTACTGTTTTTAACAGTCATGAGACTCTATATTGAAATTTAAAATACGATTTTTTTAAGCGAAAATGTCAAAAGTTGGCAAATGATGTCATTCTACTCAGAGTGTCATTTTCTATTGAATAAAGTAGAAATATACCAAGGGTGCCATTTAAAAATCAAACGTTTTAGTAATTTCCGGTGAAACAGGAAGTGACCAAAACCAAGTGAATACGTCAATCAATCCTAATTTATATGATATACTAACACACCAAATCTCGTTTTTTTATCTGAAAAAATAAAAAAATTATAGAAGTGAGCCAGTTTCGAGACGCACCCGGTATAATGTATTTAAATTAAAAATTTAAATAGTTCTAATCATTATAAGTATAAATTAAAAGAAAATGTCCTATAGAAAAATTAAAATTTACGCAATACGATACAAAGAATAGACATTTAAAAATATAATTACTAACTTTAGTGTGTTAGGGTGCGTCCATAGTGTACCGGTTGCAGCTTCTCGCTTTATCGCGGCAGACTAGCGGTAAAACATATAGAAACAACAGTATCCGCGTGGCCATTGTGTACGAGTCAACCAGCTTCAACCGGCTTAAACTGGTTTTACCCGTTTTTACCGAAATAAGCCGGCCAACGGAAGGCGTGAAGCCGGTGCACTATGGACGTACCTTTGTGCATAATACATACCACAAATTTTGCTACATCTGGGCGATTCCACTTTGTATTTAACTCAGTTACATCATCCTTTCTTGTTAAAAATTCATTAATTAATTCTTCATTTGGAAAATTCGGATCCTCCAAGGCTTTACTTCTAACGTTCAATTCATATTTGAGCATCAAACGCTCACTATTAGAATCAAGTGAATTACAACCCTTTGTGGTACGGCATAAGGAACAACCTAGAATTTTTGGAGTATGTATAATGATATCCATGTATTCATACATGTCATGGTAGACGGAGGTAGGGCCCTAGGATGGGGAACCTTGACAGTTCTGTTTGACGATTTATTTGACTTACTGAGCTTATTTTATGTTATTTATTATTAATTCTATAACTGGTAGTTGTTTAGAGGTAGTAAATCTAGAAGGGAATTGTGGCAGAACTTAAATTAACAGTGACACTATTGCGATTTATAGAAAATTGACTGTAAAATGCCGGTGCCTCTGAAGCGTGCCGGTGATCTTGGTGAAAAATCGAGGAAAATAATGGAAGAAAAAAAAATTTCACTGGTATATTACTATATAATATACATACGTGTAGTAAACCGGTAATCATCAAACCGGATCATAAAATTCGCTTAAAATTAATTATTATTTTTTTTTCTTGCATTTTTGCTTTTGTTTACTACTTATCAAAGATTCAATGTCAAGGAATTTAGATACGTCAATTTGGCTTACCTGCTTCAGTAGCATATCGGATGTTTGTGTTAATAAATAATTATTATAACGTATCTACTTTTATTAGAATTGTATATTTTTATAACATTTTTAATATCTACCAACATTTATTGACAACGTAAAATAAAACAACAAATTATTGAGTCTACCCAATATCATATTTTTACACGTTTTAGATAAAATTAGAACGGAACTGATAAACGGGAATTTACGTCGGCCATTTTAGGTCACCGTCGCGGTCGATCTAAGTTTTTTGATATGCTTCTTCCTTAATATTTTTATTCAAAGATTGGGACAAAATATACTAAATGCAGTAAGAAATAAAATTTGGTTATGCACATTATATTTCGACCACCCTGTACATACCGTTTTTTGTGTGATAATATTTCTTTCCAGTATGCCCGCAGGTAGTACACAGGCTTTTATCGTTTACTTGGCTTTCATATTGGTTATATAAATCCCGGTTGTCTCGCCATGATTTTATTCTGTTCAAAATATCTTTATCGGGTATATTTTCAAATAATTTCATTACAGAATCCTTCCCAACACCGTGAACTCCATCTGCATAATCACATCCCAACAACAGGGCCATCACTATGATTTTATTTCTTCCGAAATCTTAAAAAAAGAAGAATTAGAATCATCCTGAGCAAAGAAAATCAGTAGCGGCTCGTGAGGATCGGCAATACATTTGAGGCGTCAAGTTGCAAAACCCACCTTATCATTTTTTTTTTAAATGGCCTTAATAACATATATTAATAGTGGACCCTGAAATCTACATAAACATAGTCCCAAACTTCAGCAAAAGTCCCCTATTCCTATATAAAATTCACTACAATTACGTTACTGCAGCAAAATCCATCTTATCCTTTTATATTTGCTTTTAATTATCATTATTATTGCAAATCCCGCATTTTTCCATAGGCATTTTACATAAGTATATTACTACTAACGTCTTATCCATTTCAAATCCTTACCTAATTTTAATAAAACAGCATATCTAATAAATCAAGCTACGATGCAAATATCTTGCTATAGCAAATCCATGCATCATACTGCAACAAACCCAACCTTATCCGAATTATTTTTGTGTTTTTTCTCTTTAAAAATTAATTATTAATTTGTATTTCTATAGATAAACGAGATACAAAACAATCATTCCACTCAATGGACACATTTTTTTTTCTAAAATAATGCTTCAAAAACTTGCTAAAACAGTTCGGCATATTATCTTGAAACAACATCAACTTTTTTGGGATAAAACGGGTTTTGCAACTTGACGCAGCATATATTTTTTACATCTATAAAAGATAAAATAAATAATAAGAATTTATTTATGCAAATTTTCGGCTTTTTAGACTGCCCTATCCAAGAACCCGCCACTGAAGTAGATTAAAATATTCTTACTTATATTCTGGCAGACTTTTTGTAAATCATAAATATCTACTGATCCTCCACTGGCCGAATATGATCCTTGTGAAGATATAGAAAAATTTCTGTACACTACTTGAGCACCGTAGGCAAAACAATCTGAATCTTGACTTATACAACCGTCAACCAGCTAAAAGTAAACTTATGTATGATCGAAAAAAAACGGCGTCGAAGACGGCTGGGGAATGACAAACGATGATAATTTTGACGAGGTAACTCCCTAGACATCGTTTACTAAAAATTGACGTAAAACTAGTCAAAAATTAACACTAGTTATAGAAATCTATTTCCAAAAAAATACTTTTTCTCAAATTTTAAACTACACAATTAAAAAAAAATACTTAATATAAAAATAAATTTAAAGAAGAAAAAAAAAGAGTACAGGCAAAGTAAATGACGTCTAGAGGTTGACCTTGCCAAAATTATCATTGATAGTCAGTTCCCCAGCCGTATTGGGCGCCGTTTTTTTCAATCATACGGTATTTTAGATTATTAAAATTTGATTATTTTTCACCCCCTATAACTTTTTTATTTTTTCAGATAAAAAAACCAAATTTGGTATGTTAGTATATGACAAAAATTAGAATTGATTGATGTATTCAATTGTTTTTGGTCACTTCCTGTTTCACCGGAAATGACTACAACTTTTGATTTTTAAATAACATCCTAAAGTGTTATTTTTTTTATTGTTAACCCTATTTTCATGAATTTTTTTGAAAACTGTATATAAATCTATCAACTTTAATTCATATACTCAGTTTTTAATAAACTTTAGTATTTGGCTGATTATACAGGGTTGATTGAAGGGTTGTTTTTTACCCTAACTTTAAACACCCTGTGCAATAATTCCGCGAGTAACTTTTCCTAAAACATTATTTTTCGATCAGAACCATGTCTCCTGAGTATTTTGTTTTTTGACTCATGTCAACACATACCTTGATTAATTTTTAAGAGTGAATGAACTTGCCACAGACTTGCCACCAACAATTTGCAATTTTTCCAACTACCATTACCATAATAATATGATGTCATTTTTTAATACCACGAGGTGACTTTGGTGACTATTGTCATAATGTCATATGGACATTGCATTAGAACTCTATGTTAAAATTTAAAAAATATTAAAAAGTATCAATACAGGCTTGGAAAAAATTGCAAATTGCTGATGGCAAGTTCATTTTGCTCTTAAAAATTAGCCAAAGCATGTACTGACATAAGTCAAAAAACAAAATATTCAGGAAACATGGTTCTGACCAAAGGTTCTGACCGAAAAATAATGTTTTAGAAAAATTTGTTCACGAAATTGTTGCACAGGGTGTTTTAAAGATAGGGTAAAAAAACAACTCTTCAATTAACCCTGTATAATAAGTCAAATACTTAAGGTTATAATAAATTATATTAAAGTTGATATATTTATATACAGTTTGCTAAAAAAATCAAGAAGAAAGGGCCTAAAATTAAAAAATATAACACTTTAAACTTGACGAAAAATTTTTCCGTTGCGTTTTTTTTGCTTCTTTCATTAAATGTTCAGATACATGAATTAATAATAGCTCAAGTATAAGTTCAACTCATAGGCTTCAGACCTTCCCATCTGACTGTACTAACTTAACAATAATAAACTTACACCATCTTCGTTCAAAACAGCACATAAACTCTCTGCTTCTCCCTTTCCTTTTACACATTTTACACCCATACATCGCAACATCTCTTCACATTGTTGTAAAACGAAATTGAACCTAAAATAATTTCCTTCACACTTATAACAAGAGGTGTTATGTTAATTTTTACCTTGTTCTTCCTTTCCCAGTTTTTACACCATTGGTTTTAGGCTTAGCCCCTTTAAATTGAATATTATTTCTAGCAGATATGGTGCCGTATTTTAGTTCTGGGGCCTTCCCTTCCAGTACAAACACCGGATTTACATCAATTAACAGGAGATAGCAAGCTCGAAAATATAGATTTCTAAAATGTAATTGATTCAATCAATCAGAATTAATAAGATAGATGCTTATCTAGGTACCTTAGATACATCCTTGGTTGTACTTGGTATTCTGTAATATTTTGTGCTTCACATATCCAACAGGATAGATCTACGGCTACTGTCTTCCCTTGTAATTCGTAAAGGGGCTTCCTATCACAATATGGAGCTAAGACAGTCCATAAATTTTTGATTCCCATCGTATAATTCTAAATGGTAGGCTGCCTAATCACTAAATAACACTAATCTACAATTTTCATCGCCTTTTTTTATCTGTTTTTATGTTAAATGTTTACCACTATAGATTAACTATAACTAATTGTATATATTGAGACTGAGACATGACTGAGACCACTGAGACTAAAAATAAATAGGGATTTACTTAATCGAAAGCTTCAGCTATATTCTGTCGAAAATACCCTTTGAAAATACCTGAAAATACGATCTATCCATAGAAAACTTTTTTGAAACTGTTTTGAAAGCTGTTTTGTTATTTTTTATCACAGAATAACTACAGAACGATCAGTCAATGTAATAAAAAAGCGAACAAAATTTTTGCTGCCATCTATAGCGGGCCGAGTGCGGCTCAGGGCTTCAAGGTCAAAATAATTATTTATTAAATAAAAAAGTCGTGTCGGCGGCACGACTCGAACCGGCTACCTTCGTGTTGCTAGACGAGAGCCTTATCCCCTACACCACCAGATATCTTGACGAGAATTATATCTTTATGGTAATAAATTATGAATTCAGCCTGCTACAACGGATATGTAAAATTTATCCTAGAGGCTGCTTATACTTTGAAAATTCATCTCGTTGCAGTTCATCACAGTTGTATAATTCAAGAAGCACTAAGAAATATGGCTACCTTTGAATAATATAATATGAAAAAGTTGGAGTCGGAATACAATAAAAAGCACGAGAAATACATTTTGTATTAAAAACAAAATAAAGGCAGCTTAAATATAGTTTGAAGCATAAATAAAGGAGTATTTGAAGTACTGTGTGGACGGAAGAGGGAAATCAATCGCAAAATTCATAAAATGAATTTAAAGACCGAGCCATTCGTAACGTTTGAAGCAACCATACATACACAAAGACCTGTTCTGCAACCATATATACACGACGTAAATTAGCACCATCTATAGTGGGCCGAACCGTCAATTTGTAATTTAATGCTCCATAAGAGTGACTGGGCCCTGTTTTTTATTAACCTCAAAACACGGAAACCATGGAAACGGAGAGAAACTATTGCTGTACTTGTTTATTTTTTATGTTGTTTTTGTCTAATAATTAACCATAGACTATAATTTGAACCAATTTGAACCAAAGATTTGAATATTCTCGCTTTCTGAAAACGCCGATTCGTATAAAAAAGAAGAGATATATACGAATCTGTGGTTGCTTATGTTTTCGAGCCGCAAATATAAAAAAGAAGAAGAACGTTATTTTTATTCTATGGTTACGGTTCTTATAAGACCCGAAATACGAAAAGAAGAAGAATGCAGGTGGCGCCATTGTGGAAAAAGTGAGAAAATTTTGAACTAAAGCTTTTCCGAGGTTGCCAAAATATAGCGAAATCCTGAAACTATTCTAAATATATTTTTGTAAATATGTTGTAAATCTAAAATGGATTAAACCGCCAGGAGTGCCGCAGGATACGTGCCAATAAAAAGAAACAGTTGCGATGCCATCAAAAATGTTACAAAATTTCAAGGATTGGTGAGTTATTTGGAAAAACGGATTTTTTTTTGAAAATCTATTTTATTTTTCTTTTCGTTACTATTTAGAAAATACAAAAACTAATTGCACATTCTGATAGCCACTTTATCAAAGCTGCTTGATAGTATTTTTAGATGTTTAAATTAGTTGATAATTTGTGAGATACATATAGGCCAACTTAATTTTTTTAAATAAGAGTTTAACATGGCATTTAAAATCACATGCACAAGTGGTTCAAGGTAATTGATCAAATTATCAAAGAAGTAAGGCAAAGTCAAGTTTAAAAGGTCGGTGCACATTATCATACACTTAGAAAAAATGCACCTAGATATTAATAACAACATTTTGTGATCCCTCATATAACTGGTAGATGGAAACTTTCATTTTTGATTTAGAGTCAAATAATTTAGCTACAAATTGCTTAAAAGATCATTAAAATCGGACTACTAGAACACAATATATAAAACTTTAACATACATCAACATTTTAGGTACCCTTTTTCGTACTGGTGAGTGTAGGCCGTGCATTTTTCGAACACCCTGTATAGACGTAAAAAATAATTTTAGCTTTAATACCTACATACAACATAAAAAGTTACTATAAAAAAAAGCCAGTTAGGTTAATGTGAAATATTTATTTCATTAGATCTAAATCAATGCTTTTTAACGCGTTATAATATAATAAAGACCTTTTAAATTAAGAAAAACCTGAATAAAGACACTTATATATACCTATTTATATAATAAAACAATTTATACACGAAATATCGAACTCTATATAGGGTCTGTCTTATATACATATTTGATATATCTTATATACAAGTATACTAGGTAAAATAAAAAAAATGACTTGAGAGTGTTAAATAAAGCAATATTTTTGAAAAATTCGGCATCAAAAGTTGCGATGACTCCTTTTTTTGGCAAAATTATTAAACAACTATATAAAAAGTATTTTTACACATAATCTAATTATACAGGGTTATTAACCGTATTCGACACTGAGTACTGTGTAGCCAAGTGATTAAATTTTTACTTACTTTATAATTTAAAAGTATTTTCAGTAGGTACAGAGTGTCCCAAATAAATAAAAAATATCAAGGTAGTATTTTTTAAATGGAATACCCTGTATACTATTACATTTTCGGTTTCTACGTTATTAATAAAGGTAGATTTGATTAAGGTTTACCACACTTAACCTTACCGTCTTTGAAATATTTACGATTTTGTGAAAATGCAGTAACAATTTTAATGCTTTACTTCTCTAGACGTATTTAGGTTTTTTTTTTAAACCAATTATTGTACTGACGTTTTTCTATTTACTAAATTTTATGTTGCAATAGTAAAAATTATAGTGCCTTATACAGGGTGCCAATTTGTTGTTTTAAAAAAATATCTAAAATGTCAATATTCCATGGGTATATAATTATTATACGAGTATACCCATAAAAAGATAAATGAGGTCTAAATTATAAGAAAACGCATTTTCGATGAAAACTTGAAGAGATAGGTAAAAATGGTATAATACAATTTGATAGACAATTAAATTTTGCATATTCTCGTAAAATGTACAGTGTGTTCCATTTAAATTAAACAAGTTATTGCAGTTTAAATCTAGTAGTTATTTAAAATACATTTTTAGACGCTCTGTATACGGTATTGTAATTTATATTAGTGCAACACAAAATTTAGTAAATAGAAAAACTTCAGTACAATATTTAATTTTGAAAACTTAAAAACCTCTAGAAAAATGAAGCAGTACTCCGTGCCGAATGAGGTGAATAACCCTGTATATAACAAAACTATATACGCCAGTTTAAAGAAATAATACGTCACATTTACACATCACTATCTATACAATGTCCAACTTTTTTACTTCCTAACACTATGTACAGGGTGTCCCATTTCTGTGTGTTTTATGGGGTTTCTCGTTTATTATTTTATAGATATTTTATTTATTAGATTTATTTATTAAATTTGTCCTAACCCCCTTGGTTTCTGAAATACAGGGCGAATTTGAATTTTTGGCACTTATTATACAATTATATATAACAAATGATAACTTATGAATATCGACAGTATACAAGGTGACTCATAAAAATTTATTTCAGACTCTAGGAGATTTTAACTTTGAAAATTACACTTGTTTAAAAACTATTTTTTAAATATTATTATTATTAATGTTTCCTAGACAAGATCAACAGTGCACATTATGTAAAGGTAAGGTAATTTTAAGTTTGAAAGACTAGCACCAACATGTTGTAATTGTCCCGAAAGTACCGTACGATCGAAAAAAACGGCGTCAAACATAGCTGCGGAATGACAATCGATAATAAATTCGGAGAGGTCAAATTTACTAAAAATTGAGACACAAAACTTTTCAAAAATGAACTCTAATTATCTTAACTCTATCTATTAAAAAAGGATAGAACGTTTTCAGACACACAACTCTATATTCAAAAAAATATTTTTTTTTATCAAATTTTAAACTATACACCATCTAAAAATAATTTTAACTCAATATAAAAATAAATTACACCTTTTTAAGGTTAACTGGTAGTAAGGCTTGACCTCGCCAAAATTATCAACGATTTTCATTCCGCAGCTATCTTTGACGCCGTTTGTTTTTCGATCGTAGGTACAATATATCATACTAATACACACACGACTAGAACTGGGTCGAACAAGAGTTGCATCATATCTCGTCTCGAGTTACACTAAGATGAATTCCAACTAATCATATCTAAAGTATTGTAGAATTTCTAACAATAAATTTTGTTAACAACAATTGATTTGATTGTGGAACAACTCCTACGTGGATTTTACCCAAACGGCTGGAACCCATTGGGGTTCTCTTTCTAGACTATTTATTTCACATAATAAGTCGTGATAGGCTCTTTCTGTATCGTTATTAATAATAATAAGATCGAAGAAATGGCCATATTTATTCTCCATTTCCCGGGCTTTGTCTATGATTTGAACCAAATCTTCCTCCTGAAAAGAGAAATTTACGATAAATACAGTTTTTTTGTCTCCCCCCTGTATACAGTATGTCCCCGGATTGTCTTTACTAGAGCAAAAAAAACTTTCTTATTATTGACATTTTGCGAAAAATGCATTCTTCATAAAAATTTTTGCTTGTTCTAAAATGGTTAATCTCATCCTCAAATAATACCATAATATTTTACGAAAAATAATACAATTTATTTATTAAAATTTAAATATTAAAAAAAGCTGAAGATGCGCGACAAGCGTTATTTGCATCTAAAAGTGCCAAGTTACCAAGGAATATAAAAAATACCTCCAGTGGTAGGGACAGAAAAATATTCTAGCAGGGGATGTCAATAAAACCAAAGAAAACTGTTAAACTGTTATCTGTAAATTTATTTTGTGTGACAATAATAATCATTGGCGGATCCACGGGGGGGTCTTCGGGAGCTCAAGTCTATAAAGGCTCTGGCTACTGGAAGTTGGTATTCTTTTGTTCATCATGTATGTGGTCAATCGTGCTGAAGCCGCTTCTATCCAGGGTGTTTCATAAAACATGTGCCATCTCTCGTGGGGAGATTCCTCACATAAAAATTATTTTTCATATTAACATAGGTCCGATTCTGCTTTATTTCGTAGCTACAGGGTGTTAAAATCTTATTATTTTTTCCATTTATTATAATTTTCTTCCAAGTACTTTTAGCGTATCGAATGAAATTTTGGGGATAAAAGATAGTATAAATGCGACATATTTTAAAGCTAAAAAAGTGTCGACATATTCATTCACCAGGGACGTGCATATGGGTTATCACTGGAATATTTTTCTAAAAAAAGCATTGACGCCACTGATTTTTATTTCTCCTGTTAGCAAACTAGTGTTAGCAGTTTAATGCCGATTACAAGTTCTCTCTTGATATTTTGTCGATTTCGGCCTCCTTGATGAGACAAACAAAATTTTATTAATTTGCCTAGATCCAATAATAACAACCTTTAAAAAAATTTAAAAACATTAACATGCGAAAGTTTTAAATAAGTAATCACTGATTCCTCATCAAAAAATATGAAAAAACGTTCCTATAAACATGGGTATGAAAATGCATAGTTTTAGAGTTACAGGATGTTAAAAAAATTTTAAATTAGGTTTTTGTAATTATTATCTTAAATACCATTATTTTTATATTTGAAATTGCTGTTGTAGGTTGGACTAATAGTAATAATAACTAATGATAATAATATTTAATAATAAATTAGGTAAAATATATAATTTATTAATTTTATTTTAATTTTATTAATTGTGATTAATAAAATTGCGTTTATCTCATCAAGGTGGATGAATTCGATAAAATATCAAGAGATAACTTTTAATTGGCATTAAACGGCCTACACAAAAAAAAAGTCAGTGGCGCATTATTAATATGTAGCATTAAAATATGTAGCGCTTATCGTAACTTTTACCCTCAAAATTTCATTCAAATCACTAAAAGTACTTGGAAGAAAATTATAATACCTAAATCGAAAAATAATTAAGACTTTAACACATAACACTTTAACACACAAAAATAAATCTTATTTTTACGTGAGGAATCTCCCCACGAGAGATGGCACATGTTTATTGAAACACCCTGTATAAAGCCTGCTTGTTCTCGTGGCTGTGCAGCGCTTAGCATGTTCTGTTGTTTATGATTTTTGTGAATATCTTAACCAAGACGATATACGCTTGTATTAATTCAGTAAAAAATAAATAAATAAAAATATATACTTACTTTATATGATTCCCCCAGTCTGTCTTTCTTAATTTTCAAGTTCTCTAAATTCGGTGGCGCCACAAACACTACGTAAGGTTTCAAGTCTGAGGTTCTCAGTATCTTCAAACTCTGAGGATGCAGGTTAAGCACACATATTTTTCCTGAATTCACAACCGATCGAATGGCATCCAGGGAGGTACCATAGTACGCTTTTTCGTACTCTCCATGCTCTACGAATTTTCGAGATAAGATATCAGCCTCAAACTGACCTCTGGTTATAAAGTGATAGTCTTGTCCATCTACCTCGTTTTCTTTTCTTGGCCTCGACGTATCTAAATCGATAACACATAAATTAAGAAGGTAAGCACTTACATATCAAAAAATACATTATTATTGCAAAAAATTATTCTAAAAAAAATGAAGATGTTATCCCCCTCCTCCGTGTAGCTACGAAACAAAGCGGAATCTTTTTGAAACACCCTGTATATGCCAGATGCAATTTTGCAGAACCCAGTATATTAGGGTGGGTTAAAAAATCGACTTTTTTTCACCTAGGTCGCCTTAAATGAGTACTTGGGATTCACAATCCTGAGGTAATAATAGGCAGTTGAAGCGTAGTGCTAGCCGCATTACCTTCCTTGTATATTGAACAACTCTAGTATGGCAAGCTGTACCTTGCTACTCCCAAGGCGTTAAACGCTATATACGGGAGCTATTATTACTAGTTGAAGCCTGGCGCATCTGCCACGACATCAGGAAAAAAAAATATTTTTTTTTAATTAAATGAAAAACAAAAAATCCGGCGACGACAGTTTTAGAAGAGCCAATTAGCTATCTCTTAGTAAAAAATGCAACTTTCTAGAGCAAGTCATTACTTCAGTAGAGACGACACAGATAAACATTAGCATTTTATATATGTGGATTATTATAAAGTGAAAAAAATAGTCGATTTCTTTACCCACCCTACTGTATATTATTAATACTAAAATCTTATTGGTACTTACGGGGTATGGCAGCAGCAAATCTTTCTGAATTTTCCATCAATCGCTTTCGTAGTTCGTGTCGACCGATATCGGGTGGCCCAATAAGAACTATGGGCCTTTTCTTGTCGGCCCTTGGATAAAATAGGGAAACTTCCTCGTAAGTCAGTATTTCCTCTGGATCATAATCGTCGCTTGAGTACATCGGGTAACCACCTTAAACAAGTTAATTTGAATAAAATAAATACATTATAACGATTTTTTAAATGTAGTAGTAGTGCTGTTACTTTTTTGACCCCCTGTAACTTCGTTGTGGATAAAGAAAAAATATTAATTTCAATCAAGAGGACATCTATAACTGGCTAAATTGCCAATATACAGGGTGACCCAGGCTTTTTTTTTTGATAGTAGGGACAATGTGAATTATACAAAAAAGGAAATGTTATATGTATGTTATATACAGGGTGTCCCAATATTCCGTGGACATTAGGGTGAGCCAAAAAAACTAACCTATGGAATTTATAGGTTAAAATGAACCTAATAACTGAGAGAAAAATATCCCCGGAAGGCAGGATTTTTAGCACAATTTAAAAAGGTGTCGCTTGACATTCAAAGTTTTCCATTTAAATAACGCGTAAAAAAGTCTTTTTCCGTTAAAAGTACCATAACTTTGAAACGGTTTACGATAAAAAAATTTACATCGCGGATTCTTGTAGAGCATAAAATTTACTAAAAAATATGTCTCAGAATATAAAAATCTGTCTCAAAAAATAGTAGTGGGGACTATCGAATGAATACTATCGAAACATTCGATAGTTGCAATTCATTCGAATAATTCGATAGCTAGTAAGAAAACATTCGTCGAAAACTATTCGAAAAAAAATATCGAATAGATGCGTCATATGCCTTGAAATATATTAATTCGGCAGCAAAAACCATTCATTTATAAAATTCATTCATTTGTAAAATTCATTCATTTGTAAAATTCATTTATTCGTCAGGATCGATTATAATAAAATATAAACTGGATTTTAGTTGTCGCCCGGCGACGTAGGTTTCTTTCCTAGAAACCCGACAGCGGTCGGCCGGCAATGGTATGAAAAAAGCCGGCATCTTTGATTTTGAGTCAGATAAAGAGAAGGACACATTATTTTTTTTTATTGAGGTGCTAGTATTTACACAGAAAATACATTATGAACGGCGCTGTTGCCGTATATTCGTATTAGTTGGTATTAGCAAAGAATATTATTCTTTGGTATTATAGTTAGTTAGGGATAGTATAACTATATATTTTGCATGTTTTTTATTAATATTCTGTTGTTATACTGCAATAATACTTTTTATTTTGGATATAGGACAATGATTTTTAATGTTTTTAAGCAAAACTGGTTTAATAAATAATAATAACAGTAATAATTTGTTATACCTATTAACACCAAAGTTTAAAATCATTTAATATAAACATTTTTTTAAGTAGTAGCAAAATATAAACAACAAATTAGAAGTCAAAATTATTTATATTAGATCCTATTTAAAAGTAATATAGTCTCTAAATTTTTTGGCAACGTTGGTTTATTAAATAATAATAATTACAGAACTAATTCGTTATATTAACAACAAATTTTAAAATCATGAAATATAAACATTTATTAATTTCCTAAGCATGCAGTGTAATAGAAGAAAAATATAAATAAAAAATTAGAAATCAAAATTATATATGTGTATTACTTTTTATTACTTTGTATTAGTATTTAAAAATAATATATGCTTTTACTGGCATTTACTTTAAAAAATAAATGAAATATTTCTCCGCAAAAATCTACATTAAGAGAATTAGCATAAACAAAATACAAATATCGTTAACTTTTTTTTTAAATTGGCACGTGTAAAACTTTAATCAATCAATTTAATTTTCTCATCCCAAAATTTGAGTTCGATAACCATTTACTTATAACCACATTACCACATTTCTTAAATATGATTATTAAGTTCAACTAATTCATATTACTAAAATATCTAAAATACAAATACATATGTATTTTTAAAATTAATTGTAAGTTTACCTCGTCTCTCTTAAAAATTGTTACTTCTCAAAATTTTCCATTAAAAAAATAGACCATATACCGTATAAAATTAAATAATTGAAAGATCGGAAAATCACACAAATTTTCGGAAAAATTTTGACCACCTGCACACGTACACATCGTCAATTAAAAAACACTACTGCTTTAGTATTTTAAATATTTTAATAAACGGAAAAATAGCACAGTATTTAGAAGGCAAGTTATAAAAATTTGGAAGAACTAATAATGCACTGACGCAGACAAAAATCAAACGAATACTAAATTTCATTTATCAAAAGCATTCGATAGTCGTGGCTTAACGATAACCATTTAGTCGCACGGCGAGGTTGTCACATATGCTTTAGTATACAACTGAATGAATGATTTTATTCGAATGAAACCATTCGATAGTTGAAATCATTCATTCAGTAACCATTCGATTGTCTAATTCATTCGATAGTTCCCATCGCTATCAAAAAATACAATTTTCTCGTTAAATATCTATTCTTGGAGTGCTTAATAAAATGAAAAGATTAAACAAAACTCTGTAGGATTATGATAAAAAATACAGGGTGCATTCGTTTAAAATAGTGGAGAAAAATACTACATTTAGTTTTAACACACCCTGTATATATCAAACAAGATTACATTGCCTTTTTTTGTGTTAATAAACTTCGTTAGTTTAATTATACTTTTGATTATCCACACGGAACCCAACAAAAACGTAACAGTATCTTGCCATTAATATAAAAGTATAATACCAATATATACCTTCGTCATATGCTCCTTTCTTTTTCTTCTTTTTAGATGTAGTACCACATAATAGAGTGGAGGACTTCTTATTTGGTTTTGTCATTCGCTCTTCCGCTGCTAATCGCATGCTTTCCCTCTGATGTTGGAACGAGAGTGATGGAATGAGTCCAGCAAGTGTTTGATCTTCTTCACCCTCTCTGTATGCTTGCCACCAGTTGGTATCTTCTTGACTAATAACGTGTAATACGTCGCCTTTTCTAAAACTTATGCCCAATTCTCTACAAGGTATGTACATGTCGTCCTCAGGGTCATAGTCGAACAACGCCTTTACATGAAGCACCAAATCTCTCAACATGTATGTTCTAGAAAAAAATATATCACAATACAGAAAAATAATATACAGGGTGAGTTTACTACGATGTTCTCTATGGGTATCTCGGAAACTACTGGAGCTAGAGAGACGGTTAAATGGAGAAAGAATTGCAGTTTTATGAGGATTTGCCAAACCAAACATATAAGCCTTTCGGAATTTTGAAAAAGTTTATGGTGTACTAGAGATTTCGGCTATTTTAAAAATGCTCCCTAACTTCATTATAATCTATTTTAGACAAAAAGTTTTCAGATAATCACATCCTTAATGATATTGTGTTCTCCGCTATGGTTCTCCGTTTTTTTTCTAAACCTGTCATTTTTGACATATGATACAAACATATGTTTTTTTTTAAATGGAAACTATAGTTGGCCATGACTTCATAAAAAGCACCATTTTTAAGTTTTTCAGCGATTACAGAAAATTACTGTGTTAAAGCCAATTCTTATCATTTTTAAACAATTTCACTTAGTTAGCCATGGAAACAAGTTCAATCGTTACTATCAGAGATGTCAACCTGTTACATCCAAACTTTGTAAATAAAAATAAACAAAAATTGTAAATATGAATAAAACAAATGGACAAAAGCGTGTAGGATTATTGGTTCAAGTTTTCTTGGCCATGCATTTTAGAGGATACGTTTTGTGAACGACCAGTGAACGCTTTTTAGAAAACGGTTTTCAAGACATGTTAGGAAAGTCAAATTTATATATAGAGACTCGCGCATCAATAGAGTGGTTCCAATATGACTTTCATTATGACACTCTCCCTCATAATGAAAGAAATGTTAAAATTTATTTATATCATAATTTTACAAACTCAGGGATGGTAAGGGATGGACCAGATAGATCACCAAGATAGGACCAGGACTAGATAGGATTGCATGTACCTCCTCAATCACCTGACCTATTCATTTTAGATTTTTAGTGCGGTATGGTTAACAACAAGGTTTACAAAAGAACTTATGAATTAAGAGAGGCACTCGAAGAGGCGGACAGGAGAAGTTTAATAAAGTCGACCGGCCGTTCTGTGAGAAAAACTTGTAATTCAGTTTTAAAGAGATGCATTTTATGTACTCAAAATAATGACGGATTTTTTGAATATTTGCATAACTTAAAGTGTATGTAATGATATTAGTTTTTTTTAAGTTTTAGTTTATGTAATGTAAATTGTAAAGAATTGTTTAATAAAATATTCTGTCTTTTTATAAGTTTTAATTTATAACAGAATAAGAATACCATACCAACTAAGGGTGGCTGCAACGACGTCCCGTAATTTTGCTGTTAAAACATAAAAACCAATTGTTATGTTTTAACAGCAGGATTACGGGACGTCTTTGCAGCCACCCTAAGTGAATTTAGTCAAGAAAGATAAGAATTGGCTATAACTCAGTAATTTATAGCAAAAGCACATATTATAGCTTATATTGCTGGAAAGCTTTAAAAATTACGCTTTTTATAAAATCATGGCCAACTATGGTTTGGATTAAAAAAAACATATGTTTGTGTCATATGTCAAAAATAACAGAAACGGAGAACACAATCTCTTTCTCTTTTTTGAGGACAAGGCACATAAAGGAAAAGTTAGTAGACAAACATAATTTGAGACTTTATTTATACTTTACCTTGATTGTGATGCCGGAATGATAAGTATAGTCAAGGATCCCTCCATATCTTTAAGAATATCACAGACTGCATTGACGCTTTTGCCACGCATTTCTATACTATTTACTTCCAAAATTTCATCGCCCTCATGAAGAAGACCGCTTTTCTCTGCTGCTCCCCCTCTTACTACTCGACCCTAAAACAAAAAAAAATAATTTTGTTTATGTGTATGTAGCATGTCATTTTAGTTTATATAGGCACTGATTAGGTATACTATATGTATACAGATAAAAATTTTGTCACTAATTCGTAGTACGAAAATTGTTTTTTATGAGGATGAGCAAACGAGTAAAATTTCCTGTGCGCAAATATAAACTCGCGTTTAAATGCGTAATAACTGGGCCGGTCAGGCTCTGTGCACAATTTTAGAGGCCATAAGTGGGCGTGCTATGTGCGCAAACTAGTAACCTAACTAGTGCGCGACTCCGAAAAATGGAACCCCGAAAAACAATGCTGTTGACGATAAGTTTATGATCTTTATAATCTGGGATATAGGCTTAGTGCATTCTCCGCCGGTATGGCGGTTGTTTACGATATTCTCCGATGGTCGCAGCAACCGGCATATACAAATACACGGGTCTAAATAGCGAGTATTCGAAAAATTTATTATATAATTATTCTAAAAGTGTTAGAAAGTATAATTTCTGGAAACTCTAAAAATAAAAAAAGTAAATATTTTGATATCTTCAGAAGATCTAATTTGTATTATAATTTATTATTCAAGCTAATAAAACTTTTTAGATGCATTCAACTACGGTAGCTAGCACAGTTTTACGCACCGATTTTGCTAGCGGAGACATAACTGAGGCTATTTCGGTTATAACGATTTTTTTAAAGGTACGTAATTATAATTTCAGAAGATGTTCATAAAAAATTAAGCACTAGTTGATTAAAACAAGTATACCGTTAATATTGCAAATTATAATTTATCCTCTCATAACATATTCCTATTTATTTTTTTAATTATGTAATGGGCACTTTGTTTACTCTTTACTCACTGGTTTCGTCGAGCTGTTTGAATCCATTTTTGCTTTTGATCAAATCGGCGTGAGAAGTAGTGAAGCTCTAAAACGTTGTTATGAGAGATTTGAATATCCGGGAAAGCTGAATTATTGAATGTTATTGCACCCAACAATCACGTAATTACACTTTCCTTTGCGTGTGTTTAAATTGTCTCAACGCAAAACGACGCCTAGTTCGTGTTCTTTTTCACGTATTTTTTTCTACCCGAAACAACGTTACATAACACAAACCTCGTACCTGAGTGATAGTTTCAATAACTGCACTATTAAAAATTAAAATACTTAAATATTATGACAAAGTCGCGATTTTAATATTATATCAATGCGATCAACATCGGAACTGCTTGAAATACAGGCCGAAAACTTCTGATTTCTGCCGTATCGAGCGCTGCGGTCGGAATTTTTAAAATCAACCGAAATGCACCAAGCCTATAGGCACTCGATTGGTACTGACCAAACCTGACAAAAGCAATGAGAACGGAGGACTGGAAGGAATTGTATCATTACCTCTCTTCATATTGTAATTCATTTATTTTGACGCCCTTATATGCATGTAATTGCTTGTAAATATGCCTCAAACATTTACCTATGATAACAGCATCCCCTTCGTTTCTCACAGTGGCGCCTAGAGGCTCAGTCGTTTTTTCTATCCTAATAATTTTTATGTTATCTTCGCTCCCGTAGCGACTGCTTCTGATGGCTGGCAAACCAAGGGGAGTTTGTGGTGGGGGCGATGTCGAATCCGGTGGTAAAGTGGAAGCAACGCCATCGTGAGCTACCATCAAGCCTTCGAATTCGTATCCTGCAACAAGCAACGTACTGGTATTATACTTTTATTTGTTCTGTACAATCATTATACCGGGTGTGTCTCCAAGTGGCTCACCCCTATAACTTTTTACTTTTTAGTTAAAAAAACGAAATTTGTTATGTTGACATAAATTAGGATTGACTGACGTACTGTACGTCTGCTGGATCTGTGTCTATGAAAGGAATAGCGGACAAAAAACATTTAAATAAACAGCAATATATTTTATACGTCGACTTGACGAGTACGTCACAGCAAATCATCAGCTCCGTCCACTCATTTTATTGGCTACTTGCAAATTTGTCGAATTTTTATTGATGGGACGCGTCGTCTATTTTTTTACGAAAAACATGGAGAGAATATCGTTTCCCCTCTCACGGATACCCCATAGCTATAGGACGGACAGACGTACTGTATTCAATAATTGTTTTCGGTCACTTCCTGTTTCACAGGAAATGACTACAACTTTTGATTTTTAAATGGCACCCTCGGTATTTATTTACTTTATTCGATAGAAAATGACATTCTGAATAGAATGGCATATCATATGTCAACTTTTGACATTTGCGCCTGTGGTTTATTTGAAATTATAACATGCGGTTCATAACGAAAAGTTGACTCAAATACCAAGTGTGTGGTATCAAATTATTCGGAAAAAAATGCTTTTTCCAAATGTGCTAATGAACCCTCGTTCCATTTGAAAAAAATGAGATATGATTAAAAATAGGATTTGGGCATCTTTTAACCGGTCATGACATGACACTAAAAACATTAAACTATCAAATTTATTTTTCCAAGGCTCCTTGATTAAACATTAGAAAAACTAAAATTGAATACGTCAATCAATCCTAATTTATGTCATATACTAAAATACCAAATCTCGTTTCTTTATCTGAAAAAATAAAAAAGTTATAGGGGGTGAGCCACTTTTGAGACGTACCGGGTATAAAGTCAATATTCGACGGGTATAGAGCTTTGAATAAAAAGATTAAAGCTTCATTAGGATTCAGCTCGAAATCAGTGGTTTCCAGAGATGTACAGGGTGGGTCAAATTGGACGCTTTTAAAGGGAAACACCCTTTTCTATAGGAGATAGACAAAAATTAATATCGGTGTCTGGAGCTCAATTTTTATCAAAAACATGATGGTGAAAACCGCACATCGATATCTGTTACCGTTTCGGAGTTACAGGGTGTTTTTTTTTTCAAAAATGTGCATTTTAAACAAATCGCTGTAGCATTTTTGCTATGGAAAATGTTGTATTTTTATGAAAACATTTCCAAAGCACACTTTTTTACGTAGAATTTAATGGTTTAAGTACTTATAATTTTTTTTTATTAATAAATTAGGAGTTATCAACAGAAAAATGGATTTTTTATTTGGGACAACCTGAAAATTTTAAATAAAAGAACTTAAAATTACCTTTTCAAAATTATAGCACACTTGATATTTTGTTAGAGTCCCCTTCGAAGTACAGAATTTTTAAAAGTTCGCGACTTTTAACTAGTAGGCTTTGGACCCCTTATTGATGATCTGCCCCTAATGGAACTCCAAAACATATTTTTTCAGCAAGACGAGGCACCGCCTCAGAACGCTGAAGTTATTAATCAGCAAATTTTTGCAGCCAATTTCGAGAATAATTGAATAGCTAACTAAGATCTCAGCCGTTGGCCGTCGAGGCCACCGGACTTAGTGCATATGGATTTTTATCTTTGTGGAAGAGTAAAGGTTCTGATTTTTAAATTGCCGGTATAATCTAGACAAAAATTAGAAATACTTAGCGGTTATGCGAGGGTATTTTTCACCCCCACTGAGTTAATGAATTCCGCGATAGATGTTCAAAAACGGTCCCATCTCACAGTGGTTCCCAGAGAGGTTATTACTTAGAAATATTAATTTCAAAATGTTTGCATGAAACTGTTGCTAATACTTTTCTTATATTCCCCTGTAAACGATACATAATAAATAACAAAATCAAGTAAGCCTAGTGTAGCGCTTTTTTTTATAAGAAATGTATATGTAATGACATGTGTAAATGACAAACAGTTTTCAAATAACGCCAATTAATTACTTATTTTATTAAATTTGATAAAAGCTGTTGCCTTTTCTGCAATGGACGTTCGAAAAGAAGGTAAAAAAACTGTTTTTTCTTTTTTGCACTTAATTAAACCTAAGTAATATTAGTTTATGGCAATTTATTTGAAGGCAACAAAAATAGTATTTTTACATTTTTGCTTGTCACTCTTTAAGACTTTTAACTACTTTCCCTTTCAAATCTTCTTAAACGACATGATAATACTTGTTGCTTAAAGTATATTGCATATAAATTAATTGCCACTGGCTGCCGCGAATTGCCGCCGGATCTTATTCCGGGTGGTTAAAGATTGACTTTTTGTCTTAAAATAAAAGTAACTTATTTTTTCCTCTTCGTGTCAATTTATTTCGTGGACACACTGTATATCAATTGACAATAAAATTGTATTTATAAAATGAAACAACTGTCTCTTTTATTTTTTCAACATTCAAAATAAATTTGACCTCTTCAATATGAAAAAACACGTACATATGTGCAAACATAATCTGTATATACCTTTCCGAATAGTTAGAACTTAAAATGCAAATCACACGAACTGGGCCCAATTTTTTTAATACATATTACATTAAGTTTTTTATATACATTAATTTAGCATTTGTTATCAATTTCTATTAAAAAAGGTGCAGTCAAGCTATATCTAGATATCTAACAGTTATGACCGCGCAGCTAATTAAGGGGAACCTCTGTGCATCTGTCCATAACAGAAGACGGTCGATATGTCAAACCAAACCAAACACCTGTAGCAAAATCTCATGTTTTGGTTTGCTATTTATTTTTATTGTTATTAGATATAGTTTAAATGTGTTCATGTTGTTAAATATAGTTTATATTGTTATAAAATTCTGCATCTCTCATTACAAATATTATTTTCGTTTTAATTACTGCTCACAGCTAGATTTTTTTTTGCATTACAGCGGGGCGCCGTTCAAAGCCTACTTATCTAAGGAAGGCAAATTTTTATAAACTCTATATCTCGAAGAGGAATCGAGCAAAATTTCAAGTGTGCTATATTTTTGGAAAGTTAATTTTAAATTATTTTCAATGAATTAAAATCTAATGATCTAAATGATAATCTAATCTAAATGATATCTGTATTTCAAATAGGTACTACTTGTATTACCTACTGGTATCTGAAATAAGTCACATTTCTGATTGTACCTGTAAGTAAGGTAGCCAATTCCACCGCGTAGGCACTCTGCGAATTGCCCAAGGCGTCCTGGGCGTCCCTGAGAGCATTTTGAGCTATGGGCTGTGTCCGAACGGAGGTCTGCGATCGGACAGCCTGTATCTTGTTATGTATGGCCGCGCCCGGCCAAATTGAGGAGACAATAGGAGGGACTGTATGGCAGCTATACGTCCCTCTAGCCCGGAAATACCGGAACCAGCCGACGTTTTCTTCAGTTGAATCTGCAGCCTTTGAACGGCATCGACCAGATCACCATAAGCTGCAACAATGATTTCGATATTAGCAACATATTTTGAGCCAATACTGTAGCCAAATAATTAGATTTTTAGAAATTGTGAGTGATGGGATCATTGGGAGGACTACTAAAGCTACAATTTAAAATTGTTTCAAAAAAAAGTTACAGGGTGTCCCAAATAAATAACTGTATATGAAATAAAATAAAATTTTGGATTACCGTATGCTGAATGGACACATTCCTTCTCTTCCTCGGAAGACTCTGACGTAAAATCCGTAACTTCGTCTTCATAGGCGTCGTTGATGGTACCTTGAGGCTTGCTCTCCAAGGCTTGTAGTTTCAAGGAGGAACCCCGCAACGATCGGTTGAGGAACTCATTTTGAGCAGCTATCCTTTCTTCTTCCTCTTTTCTTTTGCGTATTTGTTCCTATGTAAAGATAACGTCATTTAATAATATACGTACATTTTTAAAACATCACGTGCAGGTTTCGCCTTGTCATTAAAACGGGCTTTGTGGCCATGGTGAGGACATTTTCTTTCAGCGCTATGAGACAAGTATGCTGTATTTTTTTAAATGGAATAGTTCAAAATGGTGCATTTTTTTTTAAATAATTTGAGACTAAATTAAAATATGTAACAGAAAACAGTCATTAGGTTATGTGCAACTGTATGATTGATAATAACTAAGAATAGAAATTTCTGATTTACAATACGTTTTTTTATACAGGGTCGCTTTTATTAGGTAAAATATAGGAGGTACGGCAAAAAATTTAATATAAAAGTTATAGGCTTTGTAAATATCTATTAGCGGGTACAAAATTTAAATAGCTAGGTAAAATATAGGAGGTACCCCATAAAGTTAAATACAAAAGTTTTAGGATTTTTAAATATCTATTAGAGAGAAATAAATTCAAGTATACAGGGTCGGCCATAAAGTCGTGGCACATCAAAGTTTCATTTTTTTAAATGGAACCCCCTGTATATTATTGCATATTTCGGTTCTTCCTTCAGTACTAAGCAAAAATCGAAATACACACAATGTACCTCATACCAACCGTTTCCGAGTTATTAACTTTTGAAAATATCACTTAAACAATTTGATTTAATTATTTTCGATATGTTCAGTTTCATTTAACGATGTCCCTTTGCCGAAACTGTAATACTTAGTAATATTTGACATTAGTTCTCAAGTTAGCTTATAGATGTATAAAATGAGAGTACTATAGCAAGTCTGGAAATTACAAAATTTTCGTTTATCATTTCAATTCTTCAATTTATGTACATTCTGTATTACGATTATTGTTTAATATTGAAGGAAGAATTGAAATATGTAATAATATAAGGGGGTTTCATTTAAAAAAGATAAAGTTTGATGTGACACAACTTTATGACCTACCCTGTATACTTAAATTTACTAGTAGCTAATAGGAATTTAAAAACCCATTACAACAGTATCACAGTTTCGGCAGAATAGCATCATTAAATCAAACCAAACACACTGAAATTAATTAAATCGAATTGTTTAAGTGATATTTTCAAAAGCCAATAACTCGGAAACGGTTGCTTTGAGGTACATTGTGTGTATTTCGATTTTTGCTTAGAATTGAAGGAATAATTGAAATATGTAATAATATACAGGGGGTTCTATTTAAATAAATGAAACTTTGCTGTGCCACGACTTTATGAACGACTCTGTATACTTAAATTTATTTCTCTCTAATAGATATTTAAAAATCCTAAAACTTTTGTATTTAACTTTATGGGGTACCTCCTATATTTTACCTAATAATCGACCGTTTCCATAGATAAAAGCCACCCTGGACCCTGTATGCATATAACACAAAAAGTAAATGGTATTTGGTATTTCGTTACTTTCCTTTATGTATTTTCTCTAAACTGTAACATTAGATGATTATATACAATACGATCGAAAAAAAAACGCCTCACCCTGTAGAGTTTCGATATTAAATAATTCTTATTGTTATTATTGCAGAAAAACAAATATTTATATATTCCCGTTGTTGGATGGTGGGTGCTTCCCATTGTATTAAATTACAGTATTAAATTACACATATGATGTACCTTACACAGATGATGTATCTTTACTATATTTCGAACTGATAGATAGTTAATATCAATAAATATAGTATATCAAAAATTAATTTTTGACATAATATACCCGACCGCAGATAAACGCAACCGTTTTTAAAAATAGTTAGAAAATAATTCGAATATGAAAATAACATAGAATTCGTTTTTGCTAAAAATACCATACGATCGAAAAAAAAACGCCGTCATGGGCGGCTAGGGAATCGATAATAATTTTGACGAGGTGAAGCCCTAGACTTGATTTACCTGGCTCTCTCTTTTTATATGGCTTACACTTTTTATTTTTTAAAGGCGCTTACAGCCAGTTTTGGCATTAAGAAGGTTGTATTTCATGTCTATAGTGAGTAAAAATTATTTTTAAATGGGGTAAAAAAAAATTAAAATAGATTTGTGTCTCTGGAAACGCTCTATCCTTTTTAATCTTTTTATAATTATTAGAGTTAATTTTTAACAAGTTTTATGTCAATTTTTAGTAAATGACGTCTAGAACTTGACCTCGCCAAAATTATCATCGATTATCCTCATTCCCAGCCGTCTTTGACGCCGTTTTTTCGATCATACGGTATCATAAACATGCGTAAAAATCACATTTTAATAGTTATCCGAAAGCTCTTCTTGATAAATGTTTTTTTTTCTATTACTAACAATAACATAAATATTAATAGTGATTTAATAGTGGGAGAAGAGGTCATATGCAGTAAATTACGATAAATTCAAGGTCTCTCATACATATTTTATAAATACTAGAGTTATTTAAAGGCCATAACAATAAAATACTTAATTGAAAATTAAAGAAACTTGAAATCTTTTCATAGAGCATACCGGGTGCGTCTCAAAGGTGGCTCATCCCTATAACTTTTTATTTTTTCAGTTAAAAAAACTTGGTAGGCGTTTTGATTTTGATATGTACAGGCTACAGGCTGGTCCAAATCGTAGGTACTAGGGAAAGTTCGGCAATATACGGGTGCGTCTCAAAAGTTTTTTTTTCAGATAAAAAACGAGATTTGGTATGTTAGTATATAACATAAAATAGGATTGATTGACGTATTCAATTATTTTTAGTCTCTTCCTGTTTCACCGGAAATGACTACAACTTTTGATTTTTAAATAGCACCCTCGGTATATTTCTACTTCATTCGATAGAAAATGACACTCTGAATAGAATGACATTTCATATGTCAACTTTTGACATTGTCGCATATGGTTTATTTGGAATCGTAACATGCGGTTCATAACAACAACTTGACTCGAAATACTAAGTGTGTGGTACCAAATTATTCGTAAAAAATGCTTTTTTCAAATATGCTAATGAGCCACCCTCGTTCCATTTGAAAAAATTGAGAAATGATTAAAAATACGATTTGGGCTTCTTTTAACCGCACGGTGGGGTATTAGCATGAAAAAGATGATCGAAATTCGAAAAAGCAAATGTGTTTAAGATTTTCCAAAAAAAGATAAATGATAAGTTAAATCATGTCTGCCATGAATGGCGTTGCTGTGGGTGTGTTTAGTTGCATTCATTTGTTTCAACGAAACGACAAAGTTGTTACTTCTCACAGATAAGAGGTAAATGGCTAAATTTTATGTTTAAAATTATAAATTGTTGTTGTTCTTGTGCTCTTTTTACCTTTATATTATTGTTTTGATTGAAAATGGCTCAGCAAGTTGCAGGTATCTATTCTACAAAAACGTATTATTTATTTTGATAACGATTTTTTTGCAACTAAAAGTTAGACGTTCAGAAAATTTGATTAAATTTGTGACATTTTTATTATACTTAGAGATTTAGTTGCGCATTTCGAAGAATTCAGCATATTGTCTATATACGTTTTACTTAGTAAACATTGGGCTTTCATACAGTAAAATAAAATGCTGCGACTTTTTGCGACTTTGCTGATAAAATGAGAAAAACATTCTTGGTTTCCTCTAATTTGCCAATCAGTGATATACTAATGCGAGGTGTAAACCGCGATGGCATTCTTGTGTTCAAAGCGATCGCATTAGTACCATTAGCAGTATTTTAGTGGTATTGGCATTGCTCGCGGATCAGTCGTAGCATTAGTAGTATTAGTTGCGATAACCGTGGAAACACTGGAACAGTGATTTTTCTTTCTTTTTTTAGAATCGACGAATTATCCTTTATTTTGTTCATATTATTTCCTCTTTAATTGAAAATAGCAATAATTTATATAAGGTCTACATAAAAAAAATTTCGATCAACTATCTCTGTGTCAAATACCCCACTGTGAACCGGCCAGGACAAAACACGAAAACCATTAGACGATAAAAACTATTTTTGCAATGCTCCTTGATTAAAAATTAGTTAGTGGTTTTAAAACGGCCATGACACTCTAAATTGAAATTTAAAATACGATATTTTAAGCAAAAATGTCAAAACTTGACATATATGATATGCCATTCTATTCAGAGTGTCATTTTCTATCGAATAAATTTCCGGTGAAATAGGAAGTGACCAAAAACAATTGAATACGTCAATCAATCCTAATTTATGTCATATTGTGTTAAATGGGCCGTGACAATATACAAACATGCCAAATCTCTTTTTTATCTGAAAAAAAAAAGTTTTTTCAGAAAGAGCCACTTTTGAGACGCACCCGTATATTGCCGAAGTTTGCCTGGTACCTACGATTTGGACCAAGCCTGTATATTAAACAGTAAATAATATTTAATAAGCAAACAACAAGTAACTGACCTGATTGAAGTAATAATAATTGTTATTAATAAAACTGGTTTTTTTACTGGGATCCACTAACATAGTTTCATAATAATTATTTTTTTCCCACTTTTTTATCACTGCAAACAAATCAAAACCAACCAACACCCCTACATACTATAAACTAAATGAGTCCACTACGAAGAGTCAAATAACTAATTTAAAAAAAAATGAGTTCAAGCGTAACCGAAGAGTTAAATAGGTACTGTAGACAGAAAGTACTACTACTGCACCGTACCGAAAATACAAACAGATACTATTTACATTTATTGACGCGTAGCGGTTTATTAGAGAAAGAAAAACTATTATGATGGCGTGAAAAAAAGGATGGAAATATCATTTCCCCACTTTTTTGTTTGATTATTAGTCGCTGAATACACGCAGGTAGCAGCGATTAATGCAAATAAACTCCTACCTGTAGTAGGAGTATTAAGGTTTAACCACACATGCCGGTCACGCACGTCAGTGTTGCCAGAATTGAAGGATTTCCTGCAATATGAAGGATTTTACAGTCAAATTTCGTCGATTGAAGGGCTGAAGGGTTTTTATCCAAAAAGGAAGTAATAATGAAGGTTTCTGGCAGT